CGCATGACTCTGCAACCAGCAACAGTTGTTGGACCACACAGCCTTAAATTTAAAACCACCAGCTTGCACGTGGAGATGGGGGGCAAAAGAGACTGTCCAATTCCTATTCAGGAGTCGTCCTAGGCTCAGGAGACTAAATCGCACAGGTGCAACCAGGGCTTCGAACTCAACGACGATAGGACTGGATCTCTCAACGGCAAAGCAAACGCGAACCACAGCACTCTTCTGAACCCCTATGGAAGCACCCGTGGCAGTCACACAATCTCTACCAACATGCTCACTCAGGCTCAGCACTTGCACATGCTGCAGTGTCTCCTCGCTGATCAGGTGCGTCGACGCTCCGGAGTCCAGCAACCACCAGTCCATGGCTTCAGAGCTGCTACCATGTGTCACATGCGGGGCTGCCATGCTCATGTCATGAAAATAAAATTCACTCAATCCATGCTCACCAAGCGTCGACGGGGCCTTCTCAAGCTCAACGGGGGTCTCTAGGCTTCCAAGCTGCGATGTTCCAAGCTCAACTGGGGCCTTCTCAAGCTCAACGGGGGTCTCTAGGCTTCCAAGCTGCGATGTTCCAAGCTTAACTGGGGCCTTCTCGAGCTCAACGGGGGTCTCTAGGCTTCCAAGCTGCGATGTTCCAAGCTCAACTGGGGCCTTCTCGAGCTCAACGGGGGTCTCTAGGCTTCCAAGCTGCGAGGTTCCAAGCTCAACTGTGGCCTCTGAACTCTCCAACAACCACGACCTTCCAAAGGCTTCCCAATCACCATCGCTCAAGCTCGACTCATTGTCGGAATCTCCCTGAGCGATATCAAAGAACTCGCAACCAACTGCCGCTGCAAACACGTGCGGGCCCTCCAAGGTCAAAGCCGCCAATTGCGGTTCGAGAAGCGTCGCTGCTGCCGCCACACCTTTGGCCGCTTTCTTAGGGCATCGGTTTGAATAGTGCCCCAATTCATTGCAGTTGTAGCACTTCACGTTGGCACGCTTGTCGTGCTTTGGGTCACCACCAGAGCTACCACCGCCCCCTTTTCCAGGGTCTTGAGTAGCGTTCCCCTTTCCACCTTTCTCTCCCTTCTTGTCATGCTTGTCCTTTCCTGAGCGACCTTTGTCCTTTCCCTTGTCCTTCCCTTTGTCCTTTCCTTTATCTTTCCCCTTGTCCTTCCCCTTGTCCTTCCCCTTTCCATCGCCCTTGAAGTTCAGCGGATTCGCTATGTCGTTGTTGTTCCTGCGGTCGCGACCTCGCCCGGAATCGGCGAAGGTAAGGATCTTGATGTTTGCGTCGTAGAACTTGATCGCAGTCTCAAGCTCACTCATAGAGTCAATCTTCGCATGCAACAAGATGTACCTCTTCACATCCGCATCAAGACCCTTCAACACAATCATGCTCTGATCCGCTTCACTCAACGCAAGGTCTGGGAACGCAGCAACAAGTCGACCATACTTTGCAAGCTCAACCTGCACGCTGCGGAACACTTCCAAAGGACGATCCTTCGTAGAGGCAGGGGGTTGGTATCTCAACATCTCTTCTCGCAAGGTCGAGGCTTCTATCCTCGAGCAAACCGACAGATCCTGATGCAAGCGCCTCAACGCCTCATAGCCTGCCGGAACACCAAGCTGCTCACGCTCAACTTGCTTCAAAATGTCAAGCCCACGGGAAAAGTTCGCAAAGGACTGCCGAAGGTAAAGGAACACTCTGGTACTCCTGATGCTCTCTCCTTTCGCCAAGTCTTTGTTCAGGATTGGCTTGTCTTTCACGAAACAAGCCTGCACTTCCGACGGTATCCTATCAAACAAGGCAATCCATGGCAAAAACACTTCAAGGTACTCAACCCATGCTTCGATCTCGGCACGCCGACCCTTGTTCATGCGTCCACCATCCAACATGGGCAACTTCGGCACATATGAGTCTGCCTTAGGATTCCTGATAGGACCTCCATGGCATGGTCCACGCTGTCACTGATGCTACTACTCAAGCTGCCAGCTCCTTTGCCTTTCTTCTCAGCACTTGTCCGGTCCTGGACCAGCTGCTGCACCAGCGACATCATTTGAGATATCTGCTGCCGCTGCTGCTGCACTGTCTGAACCAAAAGCTGGGATCCCAGGGCTGCCTGAACGGCAACGGGGTCCACTGCTGCAGGCGGTGGTGGCACCAAACCTGGTGGTGACATGGGTGAAGCCATTGCCGGTATGGGGGTGCCTATAGCAGTCGGAGAACCAACCACCGGGCTTCCTGTGGGATGCACTGCACCCGACAAGTTCGACATCGGGTTGAAAGCAACTCTTCCTTGGTGGAACTGAGGAGTGTCTGGACCCTGTAGGTCTCTCATAGGGAGGCTCAGCCCCTCTCCTGCCTCTCACGAAGCATTCCGGGTTCACCCTCACCTATGTGGTCGTACGATGGCCTTCCACGGCCCTCCATACCAAGACACCTCAAGCACACACCAAGTCAGCGTATTGGACTCACTTTCTTTCTTTTGCAACAGAGCTTCCACGCTCCGCGACCACGTTAAAAACCCAAGATTCCAAGCAAACTCACACAAGTACCAAGCAAACAAGCTCAGACACTTGGACAACACTTCTGTTGGCTTGCGCTTGTCACTTGAGCCAAAGTGGAAAGTTACGAAACTCGACAAGTGGTTCCCTCAAGGCAAAACATTTCTGCACCTCGTACTCAGGCTGCTGGAAAAACTTCAAAAAGCTTGAGCAGACTCCAAGATGCACACAAAATGCAAACTGCAAACTCACCGTGTCGCTCTTACAGGATGACGCACATTTTCGAACTTCTCAGCTTTGGCACAAATGCCCAAGCAGGCCAACCACGGAAAACGAGAGAGAAAAGACGTCCCTTTCAAAAGCCACATGTGGGCTGTAACTCAGCTGGACGCATCTGTGAAGCAGGCTTGGAATGTATCAGAATGTACACGCACTTGCTCTGCAATCTGCGCAATCATGGCAGCATCCAGCGTCGGCAAGGCCACTAACACGAAAAAATTTCGAATCTTGCTCGCTAATTCCTTCGCACATGATTTGCCACATCTGCCCCACTTTGCAAAGATTTGTCTGATTGCTGCCAGTCTCGGTTGTTTTTTGGACCTACCGTTGCGTTGGCTGCGCGACAATTTGCCAGCGAGTTTTGGTTCTTTTCTGGAAAGTTTGCAAGATTGACTGTGACCACATCGAGGTTGAGTACTGAGAGTGGGTGAGCCGGAGACTTGCATTAATTCGTTTGTTACGTGTTTGTCACAACGAACTTTTGGAGTAGGAACTTTGTTCTAAAGCTGAGTAAAAGCTCACATGTGAATTTGTTAAGTTTGCGCACTTCGTGACTTTTGGCTCAAGGCCTGCAAGTGAAACAAAGCATGTCCGCACTGGTTGAGATAGGTTTGGGTTCGTGCTTTCAAGAGAAAAGGTACCAGAGGGACCTTCGGTTTTTCACGGAAATTGAAAACTGAAACCTAATGGAACGGAGTCACCGGTCACCGGATTCCAGAAGCTCGTCTCATTGGCAGTCCAAACAATAATTGAACTGTTTGTTTTGCGCAGTTGGCCTCGCTTGAAGCTCTTTCTGCCCCTTCGCACTTTAGCGCTGACCTTGCTCTGAGAATGTCGATATCTACAAGATTTTTCGCGCAGAAGCAGCGGCTTGGGCTTGGCTTGTTGCAGGGTCCAGGGTTTAGGACCTTAGAAGAACTTGTTTTTCGGGTACCAGACGAAGTCGTAATTGTGTTCTGAACCCTGACCGAATGTGCCCGGTTGCAACTCCAGCACAGAAGACATGCTCCCTTTATGTGTGGGATGCATCTGCCACATCTGCCGCAGCCTCCTTGCTGTGGGTCACAGTGACCTCTCTCCAAGCAAACCTGTTGGTTCCTCAAATTTGTTCAACAGCATGTCACCAGTCAGAGTGTGATAAATTTCAGGACTTGCATGCAGTTTCGATTGTAAATTACAATGCCTGGTTTTGAGCTTTCAATATGACTTCAACAGCACCATTCTTGCTGAGCAAATTAAAGAAGTTCATTTTTGTTGCGGGAGTCATGTGGCCGGGCGCCGTGTTGGCTCACAGTTATGCGCCAGAGCCACAAGATCGGATGAGGTGCATTTTGGGGTGTGCAGTGTTTGGGCACGTAATGTTTAGGGCTTGACTGCAATGTGTTGGTTTTTGTGCGCTTGGGCTAACAGTGTTTTGGGCCTGTCTTGTTGGTTTCCGCGTTCTAGGCTTGCAGTGACTCGGGCCAGCAATGGTTTGAAGTTTGGTCTGCAGACATGAATGCCTCTCCCCCAAACGGCCAAAAACACAACCCAATGGCAGGCACGTGAATTATAAAAGTGTGCAACTCACCAAAAACGTCGGATTACCTTAGTTCTAAGGGCCTCTTAGCTTTGTGACATGTGTTGTTGAGAAAACTTCGTTTGCTATCAACGCATAGGGAAGGACAGTTCTTTTGTTTTTGCGGCAGCTGCCCCTGACGTTGCCAACTGAGATTTTGTCAAACTGCACCATCCAACATTTCCAAAACCGGCTTCAGAATTACGGAGGGAAGGCTGAAAGGGTTTGGAGTTTGTGACGTTTGTGTGGTTTTGTAGTTTTGGGGTGAGCGTTCAGGGCCAGTTCGAAGTTGTCTTAGCCCTCTGAAACTGCATCCAATCTCTCTCGTCAAAGCCACCAAAGACTACTCGGGTTGAAAATGCTTTCAGCCGCTTGCTTCCGAAATGGTTTCGGTTTCTCCATTTTGTTCCGGCTTTGCAGGTGCAAGGGCTTGCCATTAACGCTTTGCCATGTTGAAACGAAATTGTTGACAGTCTTGCGCTTTTCTTGCGAGACTGTTGACACTGCTGCTTTCATCACACGTTGGGTGTTTCCTGCCATGTGTGGCTCACAGGCGTATTGCAATCGAGGTAAAGAGGCATGCTTGTAATGCTACGTTTCAGCGGCAAACTAGCACTGCCAGCAAGTATGTAGGGATCACTTCTTTAGAGTGTAGCCGCGTGTGGTAATCATGGCAAAAAATGGCCACGCTGGTCCAGGCCGCGTCCTTGTCTACTCGCACTCATGGCTTCCAGGCCAAGTTGATGGAGTCGCGATTCGAATGATGGCACATGTGCGTGCCATGTCCAAACGCGGGGTGAAGGTCACGCTCGTGACCCCTGATTTTTCAGTTCGAGACAGCCCTGACGTTCCCAAACTCGAAGAAGTCGATGGTGTTGAGCATGTGACACTGCGAACGGCAAGGACACCAGTCTACCGAAAGAACATGTGCATGGAGCTGTCCTTTGCCAATTTGAGGAAGCTTATTGCTTTGATCCAACGTGTGCAGCCCGATCTAGTGCATGCCACACAGGAGGCATCTATGCAAGTCATGGCCGCCGCGTGTGCCTTCTGCAACATACCCCTGGTCATATCTTTGCACACAGATGTTGCACAGATTGCGGCGAGGGATGAGAACTTCTCCTCCTTGCAAGGAGCCCTCGGGCGGCTTCATTCGTGGTTCGCAGTCCGCATGGTCTACTGGGGTTATAGAAATTGGGCTTTGTCTGGGGCTACCTACTTCCCGGTGTCGAAGCAGTCGCTCGTCATCTTGCGGAATGCTGGAGTTGCTGAGCAGCGCGTTGCTCCAGTGATTTGGGGTCCGATGGTAGATCGTGAGATTTTTCGCGTTGATTTGCCGGAGGAGCAAGTCCAAGAAACCCGGAAGCGGTTGACATTTGGTGCAGAAGAGGCATATCTTTGGGTGTATGTTGGGCGTGTAACCGCCGAGAAGGACATCCAGTTTCTGGTAGACGCCCACAGGCGTGCTCCCAAAAATGTGTATTTGGCGCTGATTGGTCCGGGCTCGATGGTCCCAGAGCTGAAGAAGTTCCATGGCCCAGACCATCGTGTGTGCCTTCGACACGATTAGGCAGACACTTGCTCAACACGGTTACCTTTGCCTTGTCTCAAGGCCCGACAAACTAACAAACTGACATGAACCCTTAAGGTATTGCACGGGCGACATGGCCGGCCGAGAGGAGGTGGCTTTGTGTTTCCGTGCGGCCGACCTACATGTATCTGCAAGCACCATGGAGACAGTTGGTTTCACGGAGCCTTGGTTGAGGATTGCGAGTTTGGCATGGTGTGGAGAGCCTCTGTTTCATGCCTACGTAGACTCAGGCCATGGAAGCGCTGAGCTGTGGCACCCCGATGCTTGCGGCCAACGCGCAAGGATATGCCATGTATCTTTCACATGGCGTGAATGCACCTTGGCCGTACGACGCTACTGGTGTTCTTTGGCTTTGTGTTTTCGAACCAAGAGTCGCTTCGCTCCGCCCAATTCCTGCAACTCTTAGGCCAGGCTGTTCACACCTGGGAGCGCAGAGTCATTTGATCAAGAGCTTGTGGAGATGATGGCAACAAAGCGGGAAGGAGCATGGTCTCCAGAGTCCATCCGGACCACCATGGCTGCTTCGATGCACGAGTCTTGCAGCTTCCTGCTGACATGCAGTGATATGTAGTGACACGTCCTTTACATGTAGGAGTCCCTGGTTCCTGATGCTTGGGCCGAGCCTTCTAGTATCTTGCAGTTCTGCTCGAGCTCGAGGAGATGGCTTCGATCGATGCCTGCACCGATCGCGCCTTCCAGGCGTACTTGACGAGCCCGGCCACCGATTGGCGTGTCGTTCGCTTGCTGGTGACCATGCCTCTCGGCACGGAGCGCGGTGTCGTGATCTTTTCGGTTCAGACCATCAGTTGTTTTGCAAGCGCAAAATACACCATGTAAAGGCAGCGAGTTGCTTTTTGAGGTTCTACGTTGTCCTCAATATCTTCTTCGTTCAAACCTTCTTTCCGTGAGAGCAGAGAGCGCAGAAAGGGAGTCTAGGGACCCTTTCCTTGCGCCTTTGCCAGTTTTCGAGCACACGATTTCTTCCCACGTGTACAGATGTGCGCTCTCAAGCGCCCCCAGTCGCCCCAGGATCAGAAAAGTCTGATCGAGCAGGGTCTTGCATGGCCACATATGGATAGGGTCTGGTCTCCTGCTGTGAGGGCAGATGTTGGCTGGCCCTTTTTGCTGCTGCCCAGACATGTCCTGCGAGAAGCCGCCGATGTGATGTTGTTGTTTATTTCAGATGCTAGCCCGTCGCTGTGTGCAGGACTTTTGGGCAGCATTCCAGTCGATTTTCTTCTGGATGGGCACCCGCCAAAACTGCTGCTTGTGGCACTGGGTTCTCCCAAACAGTCTGCTGCATTCCTAGCACCCTGCCATACCCTGCCCCATATCTCCTCGCCCTGCGGCTCAACTCAAGGAGGAAGGATTGAAACGGATTAGACGACTTCAAAGCAAGTTTTCGAGCTGTCTTCGGTCATGGCGATACGCGGCTTGGTGTTCGCCAGTATGCTGGCTGTTGCTGCCGCCATAGTGTGCCCTCCAGAGCTTCTACAGGGTGCTCCCGTGGGCCGAACAGAAGGCTCAACATGCGGCGGCACCTGCAACACCCATGGAAGCTGTGCGGCCGGGCTCGTCTGCAAGGAGCCGTCGACCCCATTCCTTGGCGTGAGGCCGGCAGGGCTTTGCATCTCAGCTGCGAACCGGCTGGCGCTGGACAGCAGCGACATCCAGCCTGTTATCAAAGAGGCTGTGCAGCTGTTGAATGGCCAGCTGAGGCTTTGCACAAGAGAGTCCCTACCATCCATGCCTTCATGTGCTTTCTTGTTTAACTGTAGCTCGACATCGATCTTGGACCAAGGAACAGCATCTACATGATGGTGCCCATTGCTGTCCTGGGTGCCGAAAAGAAGCACACTCCACAGGGCGTTGTGCGCAGGGCTCAATTGTGAGAAGCGGGGGCTCACAGACCGCATCGGCAGAGTAAAGTCTGAGATATTTGGCCATGCTGTGTTCGTCTCTGAGGTACGACCTGTCGCTAGCCCTGGTTTCCAGCACATGCCAAAACGACGGACGTCACAGTCCGCTGGACCTAAGCTGCCAACCACAGCATGTGGTGAACCCAATGAATTTAGACCTCATCGTACAGGAGAAGGACCAAGCCATACCAAGCCTGTGTTTCAAGCATGCGAGAGCTGTTTTGGACATGTGGTACTTGTCAGAGTAAAGTACTCACGCAGTTCCGAGCGCGAGCAGGACTCCCAGTACACGCTGCTGGGCCATTCCAGCATCGACCGTCCCATGCCTGTGCCGCTTAGAATCTGATGCCATCGTGCTGACAATGTGAACATCTCAGCGCATTGCAGTAACCTCGTTCCGTGGCCCGTCACTGTACAGAATGTAGTGCAAGCCTGGATTGTTGCAGAACGCTGCTGTACATACCAGAACTCGTCATGAACAGCGCGCGAGTGTGAGTTGGTCTGCGGGAAATGTGAGAAACCTGGTATCACAAGGTTCGCTGAATAGTTTCGGAGGTACGAGCAGATCGGTCGAGGAGATTCAGACACGGCATGACACTGCTTGCCTTTTCCTTTGCGCACTTTTTGGGTCTCAGGCTGCGCCACTTTTATCGGCTAAATGCTTGTGAGGGCGGCATGAAACAACCCGACACTGGCCGAACACTCGAGACACGGTGAGACAGCCCATGAACCGAGCCCGCGTGACGGGGCGTGATGGCGCAACTACAATGCTAGAAAGTCCGCCGTCGCCTCAGAAGCCTTGTAGCGGAGATGTCTTTCATCACTGCATAGGGTGGATTTGGTGGCCACCCTATATAACCTGCATTCATGAGGCAGGAAAACCCTGAGCATGCGCTTCCATTCGAGGTGCTTTGCCAAGGAAGCTTCCTGACGATGTTTGTTTGCCCAGCTTGTGCCTGCAGCATGCAGAATCGCCCAGGGCCCAGCAGACCACATCGAGCTGATCGTACGTAGTAGCGTAGCAGGGTTTCGGGCGAAAGCTGTTCGAAGGTAAAGGCCACATGGCGCATTGCTGCCCAGACCTCTTAGATCCCGAGGCCAACTGGGGAGACCGTGGGACATCTTGTTGTGGCCACACTGCGTGATACTGCAGGCATGGGCAACCTTCGGACGTGCGTATGTCAAGGTGCGATGGGATCTCCTTTTTAAAGACCAGGCTACACTCCTAGACCAGTCAATGCCTTACAGGACGGCCTGGCGACCCAAAGCCTCGATGAGAGTGTGCAATGCATCATCGAGCTCCGCTTTGGCCTCCAGGTCGGTAGATTCGACTCTTGCACAGTGGATGCTCCTTTTCCCTTCCAAGAAACATGCCTCAGGCCGCTGGCTCGGAACCGCTTCTCCCAAAGGACGGAGCTCTTGGCATTGCGGTGCAAGACGACTGTGATAACTTTACCAGCCCTAGGCAGCCTCACATCCAACATGTTCGGCACTTGCGCATCTTTTGCAGGGGCTCTGGAGTCGAGGGGCGGACTGAGTGAATTTGTTGGTTTTGAGTTTCGCAGGGAAGCAGGTCTGCCGAGGCTTTCCTTGATGTATACCGAGGTTTACAGGGCTGCTCCGGATGTTCTCCGGAGTTTTCGGGGTTTCCGGAGGGCTGTGGCTTGGGCAGATTTTCGCAGCTCAAGAGCTTCAGCACTGAACGCGTCTCCTCGACCCAGCCACTGCCGCGATGGTGCTTCCCGAGCTCAAAGTGCCTGAGGTGTGGCTTGCCGACGTTGGCTAAAAACACGGCTGAGCTCGCTTTGATTCTTCTAAGAAGTGCATGGACAGGTGCCACCAGCGCCTCTGCGCCCGACGATGGTTCGAGCCAAGCCTGAGGGGCCTAAGTGCTGCCAGGACAAAGCCTTCCAGTGCAAGGACATTGCGACAGTGTGTGAGATGTTTGATGTTTGGATATGTTCGGGATGTGCGCAATAGAAAAAACATGTCGTGCCCCGTTGGATGAGAGAGGAATGCAAGCAGAGCTTCGACACGGCCAGAGCCCTACAGGGGTCACGGAGCATACAATGGAGCGCAGCGTTTGGACATGGTCCTTCCCAGGAGCACGCACTGGGCCTTCACGTCAAGTACATTCACAGGCAGCCTGTGCATCCATTGTTGCACGGTTGCGGCATCTTCGATGGCATCATACGGTGCCGGGCGGTCCCAGTGCAGGTCCAAGGAAGACTAGAACGTCAATGTCGTCGTGTCTCGCCTGAAGGCCCGCTCCGCGCCTAAGCCTCAATGCTCCCTCTTTGCAGTGCGTGACAGGAAACACCGGGCCCATTCGCAGACGCGGTCTGACCGCTCTTGCGGTGATGCAGGCCTGGACCTTTTCCAGTGCTGCAAGAAAGCACGAAGTTCTGTACAAAATTTGTTCACTTCCGGAGCGACACGGCGCCAGCCTGATTTCCTCGCTCAAGCTCAGCAGTGTGCTGGGTGGTATGAGCCACACCTTTCAAGTTGAGCAGGCCTTTAGCCACAATGGAGATCAAAGAAGCTGTCAGCCGCTACAAAGAAGTTCCGGACTTTTTCGCCCGAGGCTGCAACTATCTTGAGCTTTTTTTTCTTGTCAATCTACAGTTTTTGTGGAAGGAAGAGCTCACTCCTGTTTCCTCCGTTCGCCGTTCAACCTATCTGATTGGCACTGAAATATGTTATTGAACTTCATATGTACCGCAAAATTCGAATAACATGTAGAGCAGTAGTCTTTTTCTTTGATATAGGTTTTGAATTTTGCAGGGAAGCAGGTCTGCCGAGGCTTTCCTTGATGTATACCGAGGTTTACAGGGCTGCTCCGGGCCCCCGGGGGCCGGCGGATGTTCTCCGGAGTTTTCGGGGTTTCCGGAGGGCTGTGGCTTGGGCAGATTTTCGCAGCTCAAGAGCTTCAGCACTGAACGCGTCTCCTCGACCCAGCCACTGCCGCGATGGTGCTTCCCGAGCTCAAAGTGCCTGAGGTGTGGCTTGCCGACGTTGGCTAAAACACGGCTGAGCTCGCTTTGATTCTTCTAAGAAGTGCATGGACAGGTGCCACCAGCGCCTCTGCGCCCGACGATGGTTCGAGCCAAGCCTGAGGGGCCTAAGTGCTGCCAGGACAAAGCCTTCCAGTGCAAGGACATTGCGACAGTGTGTGAGATGTTTGATGTTTGGATATGTTCGGGATGTGCGCAATAGAAAAAACATGTCGTGCCCCGTTGGATGAGAGAGGAATGCAAGCAGAGCTTCGACACGGCCAGAGCCCTACAGGGGTCACGAAGCATACAATGGAGCGCAGCATTTGGACATGGTCCTTCCCAGGAGCACGCACTGGGCCTTCACGTCAAGTACATTCACAGGCAGCCTGTGCATCCATTGTTGCACGGTTGCGGCATCTTCGATGGCATCATACGGTGCCGGGCGGTCCCAGTGCAGGTCCAAGGAAGACTAGAACGTCAATGTCGTCGTGTCTCGCCTGAAGGCCCGCTCCGCGCCTAAGCCTCAATGCTCCCTCTTTGCAGTGCGTGACAGGAAACACCGGGCCCATTCGCAGACGCGGTCTGACCGCTCTTGCGGTGATGCGCACCCGGATTTTTCAGTTTGATTGACTGCTGAAGAGTTGTCGACAGACCTTTGATGCAATGCCGCGCGGCTTGAGAAAAAACAGTCCTATTGGAATCTGCTTCAATGTCAGAACGTCTCACCCATCCGCAACAAACCTAGAGACCAGCTGTGCCAGCGCTCTAGCCAGGAGATTGCTAGCAAGCTGGGTGTGAAGCTGCATCACGTGGTCAACATCTCAGTGCAGATCTCCGGTGGAAGCATGCACAAGTTGCTCGCTGAGGTCAAAACTATTCAGGAGACACTTCGACGCCTTCCGCTGGTAGCGGATCCGGATGCTCTGGAAGTTTTGATGGAAGATGATGAGCTGCTGGTTGTTGCAAAGCCAGCAGGCACGAAACATGCCGAAGCTCAGTGTGAAGCGAGGATATGAGTGTGCATCAATCCGTGTTCCGGCCCGCAAGGCCTGCCGGTGTCGCCGGGGAACCGCTATCGTGGTGGCGCGTTGCTGAATCAGGCGCCATAGGGACAGCCTGTGGCAGCTGTGGAAGTTAGCCCGAGCTGCTCCAGAATGCAACAAGACAATGGGTGTGTATGTATGTATGTGTGTGCGTGTGGGAGGCTCTGTCTCATTGTGGATCTCTGCCGCACACAGTGCATCGATTGGATTGTGACACCAGCGGGGCAATGGTTTTGGCAAAGACGCTCAAATGTGCACAAGATCTTGGGGCTGCCTGCCAGCAAATGCCTCGGGTGTGTTGTGCTTCGGTTGCCGCAGTTTGTGTCGGACCTCACACAGAAAGGGGCGATCAGATTGCAACCCCGACTCGGTACATCTTCGCCCTTTTCATGTTGACCAGCTGCGAAGAAAGTTTAACACAGTTTGAGGCTCAGTTTCGGGAGGCCCTCGTCGACTCTCAGCAGCAAGGTCATGAGGTAGCAGGAGGTTTCCGGCAAGAAGCTTTTGTCAAGAAGCTTTGGTTCATGGTGCAAACCAATGTGGCCTTTGTCGTCGCACGTCGTGAGTGAAGGACAAGTTCTACTTGCTGTTGAGCGCCGTCACGGGCACCACTCCCTGGCCAGCGCTCAAGCGTTGCAAGCACATGCAGGCATGTGCGGATTCATCGTTTGCGTCTATCGGGGCCGCAAAAATCGAGTGTTCAGGAGGAGTTGGATCTGGACATGGCAACGAACTTTTCGGTGCATGTGCCCATTGCTCGCCAAGATGGTGGCTGGCACGGAGTGGCTGCTGATGGTGCCGAGGCTCGGCATGGCTCGGCGACGTTTGCCCAGCAAAGCCCGATTTTAAGCAGTGAGGCCTTGACCCAGTTCGCGCTCTTGGCACGTGGGAAGCACGTGGCGCTCTTGCTGGCAAAACCAAAGACCGGCAGGCGAGGCAGGTTTGTCGTACTTTCTCGTACTTTCATCGCAGAGATCATGTCAGACCTCCTGGAAGGACGCATCAAATCCGAGTCCATGTGCCTAGATGCAGGAAATTGCAGGAAGATGTTAAATTAAAACATCCTCAGCAACATCTTGCACCCATGAGAGGGAGCAATGTTCATGCTGTGGCAGTCTAGCTCCGAGGCTTCGCATGCGGGTTTCCCTCTTCTTGCTGATACGGGCTACGGTGCTCCCCGAACGGCGGCCATCTCCCGGCACGCGCTGCATGCCTGGGTTCTCAATTTTCAGCACCAAGGTTTCCCAGTCCGTGGCTTGGTTGCGCTCAGATGAGTGTCATAAGTGTCATATGTGTCATAAGGTCAGTTGAACTGCTGATGTCAGGAAGCTACACTGGCTACACTGGTACTTGGTACGTCGCCTTGTGACGTGTTGTGACGCTTTGCGAGGTGCAGAAGCTCCCTTGCCCCTGGACTTCCTGGATGCTGCCTCCATGCATGACCTAGAGCTTCCAAGTGGTTTCCTGAGTGAAACACAGAGAGCTTGCTAGTGCAGTTTCAAGGAGCGGGTTAACAGGTTGCACTTTTCGCTTGTTGCCAAGGCCCTTGCTGCATGGCTCTGGCCTGTGAAAGGTTAAGGGCCATGCGTGCTTGTGAGATCTGCGGTGAGATTCAAGAAAGGCTTCTCATGCTCGCACCTAGCATCCTGCAACAGCTCTGGCTTCTCTGCGAAGCTATTTCACTGCATGCGGCTGCGCACTGCCAGTGATGTGCTGCTGGCCTTTTCTCAAGAACGGGGCGGAAACCACAATCAAAATCTGTTACAAATGCCGCCGCAGTACCAGCAAGGTCCATACAAGCACACGAGAGGGCCATCTGTAAGGTGTGCGATCAGTTCACATCCCCACGCCGCCTAAACCAGCGCAGCCGCGCTGCGGAAATGGCCGGCCTGGACATGCTGAGTTGCTGTGAAGCGCTGTGAGTTCCTTTTTCAGCAGCCTCCGATTTTTGGGGTTTTCGGGGGAGGAGATCCCATTGCAGCCGCCGCCAGACATCTACCGCCCGGCCCCGGCCACTGACAGCCGTCAGGTCCATGTAGGAGGTGGGGTCTTTCTTAGGCCTTTACCGACTTGTGAACAAAGATGATTGAAAGAGGTTCTGCACCTGAAGCACCGCGCCGCTTGACTTTTGTTTGTCAGAGTCTGGTTTTGGCTGCATCTTCTGGCATCTCCTGGCATCTCTTGGCTGGTTTGCTGTGGTTTGCTGAGGCAAGAGGAGGAGCTGCTGCTGCAGCTTCCTTGTCGCAGGCCCCCCTGGCCTCGCGCCTCGTTTGTTCTGATGCGGTGAAAGAGCCTGAGCCCAGTTGGAGCTGTCCTGATCGGCACGCTGCTTCTCTGGAACTGCTACGACGTTCTCCAGCGGCTGCGAGGACGTAACGCCTTTCGTGGAAATGCTGAGGCCATCTAAGGCCCGAAGTCCAGCTTTTATTGAGTCAAGTCGACACACTAAACATCACAGGAACACAAAGGCGTCTCTGTTCTGACACAAAACGTGTGAATCTTCTTGCCGTTCACATGGTCTTGTCACATCGTAAAGTGCGTCTTCGATGATTGAAGCGACGTTCTGCAGGACGCCGGCGGTCCCTGAGCGTTAAGCAGAGCTTCAGCCGAAGGCATCCTGCGACATGGTGCGACATGGTGCGCGCCCCGTTGGTTGGTCCTCCTCTTTGAAAAATGTCTTTGGAGGTCGGAGATCGAGCTCACGCTCCGACAGCGAGTTCCAGACATGTCGGAGCCAGAGCCGCACGCAGCGACACGGGGGTAGAGCTTCAGCTTGGGGTTGGATTTGCCTGCAAGCATGTGTCCATGTCAGTCTGCATGTGTTGAGGATTTTGATGTGCGAAAGATCGCGGCGGCTATCGACAAGCACGAGAACTTCAGGCCGGCATCCCAAGCAATATGCACGTTTGTGACAGTGTTGTCGGCGTTGACAGCACGGGACCGCTAGGCCAGGAACCTTGCGAGTGAGTGCAGCTCGGAGGAAGCTACAGCCATGATCCATAATGCGTTGTCAATCTGATGTGACATCTAAATGTTCACAACAGTGCCTAAGGCTTCGGTCCTGAACAGGGACCTCACCTTGCACTCCCTCCAGCAAGGCCATCTTCCAACTCCCCCTAGTTCCGTGACAGCTGAATTCATATTCAATTTCTCTTTTCTAAACACCTTGGAGCACCCAACGCGACTTGCGAGGCGGCCGCAAGAAGGTGGTGCAGCGCTACCGAAGGAGACGGGTGCCTCACGGCCTCACACACACACACACACACACAATTTCCTACCATTAGCAACAACAAAGTCCAAGCAGTACGATGTACAACATAGTACAGACTTTCATGAACCATGGGCTACTTGATTTGGAGGACCAGAGCCCTGGAGAAGGCCTTGAAAGACGTCATCCACGAACAGCAAGACATTTTCTTTCCTGTGAGGCGGTTCCGACGCTTGCGACGGTTATGAATTGTTATCTGATGGAATTTAGGCCCGGCTTTGCCCCTGCGCTTCAGGAGTGAGATCTTCTCAGCGTACCGCAAGTTTTTCCTTGGATTTCCGAGCATCAATGGCAGGCCGGTTTGGCAGACGTAAACCATTGTAAACCATCGTAAGCCATCGTAAACCAGCACAAGCCAGACTCGCAGAACGCCTTGCGGCTCTCGGCATCTTTGCTGCCTCTTCTTTGCTCAGGGCGTGCTCGGTGCCGGCCTTGCAGCGGGAGCTGGAGGCCATGGAAAAAGCCAAGAGGTACGAGTATCAGAAGCAGCTTCTGGAGGACGGGCCGACGGCGGCTCCCCGTTGTTTCCTCTTTGTCCGGCTTCAACCCGTGGGCTGACATGGGCTGTTCTGCGCGCTGCAGGACTTCCAGTCGCGCTTCCGAGAGTTCTCGAAGTTTCTGCGCCGCCGGAAGCGGGACGTGCAGCAGGTCTCAGCAGGGTCTCAGCAGAGTCTCAGCAGAGTCTCAGCATGGAAGGGACATAGGAGGAGCAGTGGAGTATCAGCTGGGCATCATGAAGATATTGGTCATCTTTCAATTCCTTGCGATCGGGTACCTGGGTCTTGCCAGGTGCTTCAAAGAGAGTGGATGCCCACGGACCTGCTCCGGGCTTTCGTGGTTTTCGACATGTCCCTTGGAACGAACAGGGAGGGTTTTTTTGGAGGACTTTCAGCCTGCTTTTGATCAGGTTGTGCTACGAGCACGAGTGGATTACGTCCGGACCTCGTGTTGACCGATTTCGAACCACGAGAGGGAAGAAGCGCTTAGGGTCGATTTTACATTTCCGAAAGCTCCCCAGCTTGCGTGTCTCCAGGATACCAACAGCAGGGAAGAGTTACAGCAGGGAATTGCAACAGCAGGGAAGAGCTTGTGCATGGGTCGTGGAGTGTTCATGGGTCTATTCTACCAGAACAAACAGGGGAATGCTCTACCCGGCAGTCTGGACATGCGTAATGTAGAAGCAAGGGAGAGGTCGATTTTACATTTCCCGGCGGTGGTTCTGTTCTCAAAGACAACGGGCGCGCGGGCATACAGTACACTGTCAACGTGAATCTTGGCGGCAGCAGTGTGGCCAACGCAGCAGACAAGTTTCAGACAAGGGGCTTCTCGGGAAGAGAAGAAAAGTGCGAATGGTCACCTCTTGAGCTTGCTTTGAGCTCATGTTTGCTGCACTGGTGCTGATGTCTGTCTTGCAAGAGAGAGCGAGTTAAAGAGACAGGAGATTCGATCAAGGGATGGCAGCCACATTGGAGCAGAGGTGTTCTATTCATAGGGGGGTAGAAATGTAAAATGCAGGGGGGGCCTTGGAAAACGAGGTTGGGCGTAGGAGTGAGTAAGGGCTCTGCAGCTTGCAGGGTCTTGAAGGGCACTGTAACTTGCAGGGTCTTGGAGCTCACAATCCACAATCCTATACCCGAGGATCCCAGATGACTCTAACACCCTAGAGCCTCAAACATCCTCCTCGGGGATATTTGGGGGTTTGCGAAAAAAAGGGACCCCTCAATAGAGTTCCCAAACTAGTAGGATTTCTTTATCAAAAGGACCCAGTAAGGTACCCCCAAGTATCGGAAAACTCCCCCCCCAATTTTTGTGTCTTTGCTTTTGGAGGCCCCTGTACCGCCTGCCCAGCTCCGACGACGGGCGAAAGCGCGCTGGAAGGTGGCTGCGGAGAGACCCGGAGCTGAGGCCTCTTCTTCTCCTCTTCTCCCCCCCCCCTCTTCTCAGGACACAGCACCACGAAAGAATGTTGTAAGTGTACATGTATAGAGACATGCGTGTCGTCGCTTTGTTTCATTATTGTATTCGAGTTTGAATCGTATTTACATTGCACGCATATTCATGTATGGGTCTATGGGGTTTGAGATGGCTTACTTGGAGGTTCATGGGTACTTAGAACCTGCTTAGAGGACTTGGGGGGCCTAAATTTTCAAGGTACAGATGTAAGTAAGTACCCTGAACCTCCAAGTAGGGAATCACCCTCCTTTGCCTTCAGGGAGCTGCCGGTGCGGATTGATGTGGACGTCGATGCGTCCATGAAGATGAAGGTACAAAGAGCGCTCCCGTGGCAGCTGAGGTGGGTTTAGGGAGTTTAGGGTTTAGGGCTTGAGAGTTGGGGAATTTAGGGTGCAAGATGCCCTGACTTCCGAGCTGCTTCCTGCCAGGAAGCTGGTGCCACACGCGGGGTGATATTTTTCCGTATGCCGAAGACAACTTCAAGCTAGCAAAGGTGCTGAAAAGAGCAGTTGCCCGGAGCAGTGCTTCAAGCTTCCTGTGAGCCATCCATGTCGGTCGCTCAATGAAGCATGAAGCATTGCTGCTCAAGCCTGTCATCTGTAGACCACGTCGAACGAAACGCACTTGTTAAAAGGGCATGGTGATACAGGGTTTTGCATATGCCTAGCTGGAGAATATGTGTGCTGGTGGCGTCAGCAATTCTTGCCACCCTGGCTCTTGCAGGGATCGAGCCGACATGAAATCAACACAGTCAAGAGTCAAAACAGCAGTCGACTCATCGACACCTTGCAGTGCAATGCTTGCGCGACTGCCAACATCCAGCCTTCCTCTGGCATCACTTCAGAGCAAGCCCCTTGCACAAAGTGAGACGAGGAGGCACACATGCTGCTGTGTGCAGCAGCGCCCTACAATCTGGTGCAGCTTGTTGTGTGGGTCGGCGTTGGGTGCGAGAGCTCGCACCAGACGATCCAAAAAATGCGCCAGCAAGACGCCTGAAACTCACCCTGCTGTAGACCTCTTCCGTGTGCCTGATGATCCAAAGATCGAATTAGAAGTTCTTGGAGGACTGGGACATGGGACCAGCGTTCAACCCGTGACTTTGCTGCTCATCCACGGCAGCTACCACGCAGCATGGTGCTACGAGGAACATTTCCTCAGCTTCTTCAGGGAACAGGGGTTCCACACGTATGCGCTCTCCTTGCGCGGGCAAGGGTCTGGCAAGATGCCCAGGCTACCAGTTGCTGGGACCCTGGAGGAACATGCCTCAGACATCGCGGCCTATGTTGCGCATCTTAGGGAACTACACAGGCAGCCAGTTGTTGTGTTGGGCCACAGCTTTGGCGGCTTGATGGTGCTGCAGGCTGCAAGGGCCTTGAAGGATGAGAAGGATGGGAAGGATGGATCCAACGGATCTTTGGCCGGCCTTGTTCTTCTTTGCAGCGTCCCACCGGGAGGCAATGTGGGGATCATCCTGCGCAGCCTCTTCAAAGCGCCGCTACAAGCACTGCGAATCACCTGGGGTTTTGTCGCGCGCGCCTTTGAGAGAGATGCGGATCTTTGCCAACAGGCTCGCGTCAATATAGATGTCATCAAAACCTTCCTTACCACCGCCATGCAAGCATGTAACTGGCCATGCGAATGCCGTGCAAATGACATGTACATGCCATGCCAACCTCAAAACAGCTCTTCTTCGACACCGACACTCCTGCGCAAGACATCGAAAAGTACATGGGGCTGATGAAGGGAGGACCGGCTTTGCAGTTCCGTTTGCGTGGAGTGCACCTCGCTTGATTTTGCTTTGCTTTTTTGTGCTTGTTGAGAGTGCTTTTTGAGTTTTAGAGGCTGTCCAGAAGGCACTCGATTGCTGGACTTGCGTCAGCTGCAGAAGCCAGAGCCTCCAGGGTTTGGGGCAAGAGTTCGTGGCGGTTTGCATTCTTTGCACTCTTTGCATTCTTTGCTTGCTTGGCTCTCTGTACATATTTCCTCATTTTCTCCGCCACACCAGGTCGCTGCCGGTAGAAGCTTGCGACCACGTGCCGGTGCTTGTCATTGGAGGCGGTCATTCCCCCTTCGCTCCATCCTACATCCCTCCTCTTTCGGCCCCTGAATCCTCTGATTCTTCCTTCCGGTTAGGAGACGAGGACGTCATTGTGGACCAGGAGGCACCAGACAGAGCAGGGGCGATTCGTGCTGGCGTCTGCGCTGTACTTTTCACGCTTGGGCTCCAGCCGTCTTTGGGTCTTGAGCTAGGGGATGCAAGGGGCAAGATACAGTTTATGGCATATACGGGGTGCAAGGGGCACATGGTTTCACAGAGCCGCACTGTGCTGGTACAATGTGCCTTCAATGTAGTGACCATGAGCATGAGCTGCTGACACGTATGACACATTGAAGAACTTCTCGCATTGGCCATCGCTCACAAGCTCCTGGTTTTTTCCGCCAGCAATGGCCGAGACAAGAGGGACAAGAGGTATGGACAAGAGTGGGCCGACAGGGCAAGTCGATTCCTGGACAATGCCGCTGACTGTGACCCCCAAGGGGGCGATGTACTCTGTTCCGTTCGTGCTGGGTCTGGATGCCTACAGCTACAAGGTCGGCAAACATATGGCCTCGCGCGTGGAAACCCGTGTGAAGATGAGCGTCCGGGAAACAAGCAGCACGAGCGCTGCCAAGCGTCCAGCGAGCGCGACACCGGCCAGGTTGGTGCAGGCCGGCGTTAATGGGAGTACGACCTTTCTGTGGAACAGCGACGGAGCTCACTCATCAGATTCTGGTGCATCCCAGGTTCGCAAGAAGAGGCAGAAACGAACAGATGACCTGCTTCACGAGCTCGTGATGACCTGTGGAGACCCCATCGATGTTGTCTCGCACTGGTTTGAGATCTTTGCGTTCTACTGTGATCCCCCAGAAGCCATTGCCTTACCCAGGCTACCTGAAAGGAGGGAAGCGAAGGACATTTTCATAGACAAGATAGACATGCCAGCAGTACAAAGCCTTTCTTGCCCGACATCTAGGCAGAGTACCAAGCGACCTGCGCGAAGAGGACGCACGCGGTCCTTCTCGGCGCCGCGCCTGCGAAAAACTGAAATGGTGCGGGTGCAAAGCCCCTCCTTAGACAATGAGAAGAAGCTTGATCTTATGCGCAGCGACCTTTACAAGACCCGTTCAGTGTTGAAGGAAGCTGGACTGGCAGGGAAGGGCGCTGGGCATTTGGACTTGGGTCACCGGCTCAAAGCCCAGAGCCTCAACGCGGAGTCCTTCGCAAGCTGGATGGAGAGCTTCAGCTTCATCCTCAATCTTCAGAGACCCAAAGCCGATATGGCTGTGCCATTAGGACCGAAGGGAAAAAGCAACCAGGGTCACCAGGGCCATGGCGGCCACGGCGGCCACGGCGGCCGCGGCGGCCGCGGCGGCCACGGCCAGAGATCTCACAGTCCTCCACGGCGACGCTCGGTGGCGCCTCGGCGAGCATCCGACGTGGAGAATGTGACCAAGCGCTTGCTTGCAAGACTGGACCAGAGGGTTGTACTCGGATCGTGGGAGCTCATCACCGGCGAGGAAGCGAAGGAAGCCTCCAGCAGTGCTACCAGCAGCGATGAAGAGCTGGAGAGAAGGCAGAAGATTGCGCAAAGCTTCTTGGCCCCAATGAGCCCGCAGTTCTACGTTACATGCCCTCAGTCTCCTCGTTTGTGCGAGCTACCCATGGCATGTACGCTTAGAAGAGAACCATGTGGGGATCCTAGCGTGATTCAGAAACTGGACGCGATTCACGAGAGTCCGCAGGCATTCTGCGTTGTCTCGCCACAAAATGTTTCCAAGCCCAGTCCCGACTCGGAGTGTGGGGGTACTGTAATTAGCACAACCAGCTTTAGGCTCCCCGCGCAATCCCAACACGTTCACGAGGATTTGCTAGCTGCTAGCCATGTGGCATAAGAGAACCATCACCCAGGGAGACTGATCTTAAAGAAGCAAATGAGCGAGAGGAAGAGCAACAACATCAAGATATATATCAAGATAGACGAGTTCAAGAGCGAGATCGAGGAACTCGAGAACGTCAGTTTGATATTCATGCCAAGGCAAAGTCAACGGCCCACAGTGCTCTCGTGGGAGTGGAGTCACTTAAAAAGCTGCGAGAAAAGGCTAGCGCTAGGGCTGATGAGTCTATCTTCGGCCATTTTGGATGTCTTCCTAAGCGAAAGTGCTGCACTCAAAGAAGCCACAGAGAATATAGATGACAGCGAATGGCGCGCAGCAGTCAAGGCCGAGTGGTAGCCTCCACTGTACAGCAACTTGAGCAGCATGTCTCCGCACAAAAAGCATACCGCAGCAGGCAAGATCTTATATCCCAAGCCCAGAATTCCCAGTCCTAAATCGCAACATCAGGAATTCCGAACAAGGTCACATGAACTTGAGGGAAACGTACTGAGTGTCAGGGAGGTTTCAGGGTCCCTGAGCTGATGGTTTCACGCTCGCCCGGGGGTTGAGAAAGTCTGCAGGTTCGAGAAATTCAGAACCTGAGGTCACTGCCAAGCCGTACGTGCTCTATCCAGACAACATCAAGAACAGGATCCTTCGGCAGTTTTTGACAAATGCGAATGCCCGACCACCCACCAGAGACCCCCAATGAAATCTTAAACTCTGAGCGGCAAATTCTCACAGGAGCTCGCGCATCAACGGCTCAGGGGCTTCGTGCATCTGCGAAAGAACGTGGGAAGGACGAGGTGGCTTCCTTTAAATGGACGGACTGCGATGCGTTCACGTACTAGCTCCTGGAACCACGCAGCATCGGAGCCCACCACGGAGGGGGGCCGGGGGGGATGGTGGGGAAGGGGGGACTAAGGGGGAACCAGATCCTTCTGCTTGTGTCTGCTTGTTCCAGACGCCTCTCGGCCGTTCGCCGAGGCGAATTCGAATCCGTCTACTGCAAAATGCGTGGTTGCAGTCATTGTTGTCTGACTGAGTCATGCAAGCATGCGAGGCATGCGAGCCTGCATTCGTCTGAGGTTTATCGCAAACAGATGCGAGGCAGATCATGCTGCGTAGCAGCAGCTTGGCGATGTTGAACTCAGGCATGATCAAGAACAAGTCCAAAGGGGCAGACCGGGCAAAGCCTGGATATGATGACGTTGTGAAGACTCGTGCCCGCATACTCAGCGGCATCTCGCCTGCTCAGATGACAGTGAAGAATTTGACTTCTTTCCTGGCGCTGTTCGGGATGCAGCGCAAGGAGGCCGTCGAACGAGCTGCCAAATACTTTCTGTTTGCCGTGCCCTGCAGCTCGCACACCAGAACAACGAACCAGTCTTTGCAGCTGGATGATGACGAGAACCAGGAAGACGGAGCATGGCTTCAGGAAAAGCTGCCTTTCGAAGTCTTCTATCGCTTGATGCGGGCCTTACAGGGCCCAAAGCGTTCAGCAAAAAGTGGCGATTTCAGCAGCGAGATTGGAAAATCGTATTTGGCATCAGAGCTGCTCTCTCGCTTGCTGTTCTGCGCGCTCGTCGGCCACGAGGGTGTGCACCACTCCTCTGGCGCAGCTGCGCGCTTCCACGATGACGCGTCGGCCCAGCCCGTGTCGGTTGCCAACCTCGCTCACTCGCTGCGCCTCCTCCTGTCACATGAGCTCCTCCAGTCCGAGTCCAGCCTGGAGGCACAGGTACAAGCCCTTGCGGAGCCCGATCCCCAGCTTCGCATAGCTCTTCGCTGGCTTTGCTTTCCTCCGCATAAGGATCATAGCAGAAAGGGGCAGGCAGTCACAGGTTTCATGTTCTGTAGGCTTGTGCTTAGAGACTGTGATTCCACTGAGCAGTGCATCTGGCCAGTGCGCCGTACCTGCTTTCAACCAGCCCAGCGACTAGGAACAGACAGATGTGAAACCGGACACTGATGGATGAACGTTCGGAAACAGAGACAAGAACGTCGGCTGCTTTTATTTGCTGGAGGTTTCTTTGCCTGGTGCTCCAGCGAAGCGAGGCCTGGAGTGCCTCCCGTTCCTCCCTGCTGCCCACCCCACAACACGGGCATCATTCAGATGGATTCCGTGCTCGGTTCTAGCATGCCTCTCGCCCTGTTTCTTTTTGAGGCGTGTTGGAAGAATGCTACAGTCGAGGAAAGTGGGCAACCCATGTCTGCGTACTGACATGGCATACATGCTTCTGTAAATGACTCTTACTACTGAAGTGATTGCATCCGTTTGGTCAGGTGGAGTTAGCTACAATGGCTTCCTGACCTTCATGAAGTGGCACCCGGATGCCGACACCTCAGCTGGACTTCAGGGTTCGTGCGGAATCCGCTTTGTGTGTGAAGGCCTACGTGCATCTTCTCTTCCTCCTGCTTCCGCTTTCTCTGATGGGTCCGAAATTCGCGTCGGAGGACACATGATGGCGTGGTTGGCAGCCCCATGTTTTGTCAATCAATAGACTGTTGGGGTTGTCGCTTTCTTCTAAGGATTTCCGTCGGCCTGCCAGTTTTCTAGAAGTTTGTGTCTTGCCTCTTTTTGTCTTCCTTCAGTCTTCCTTCATGCTTGACGGGTCTACGGGATTTTCGGGTGGCTTGCGTCTTTCCTTGTCTCCCTTCATTTTGACAAGTTCTGGTCTATGCTGTTTGGGGCCTTCGCTGGGGCTATTGTTTTGAAGCTTCACTGAGGTTCCGGTGTCATGAAAGGAGCAGGAGCAGGGGGGGGGGGGTGGGGGGGCGGGGGGAAACACCGAACATCTCTGAGCCGAGCCTTCTGTCCCTGTAGAAAAAACAGAAGGCCGAGGTAAACAAGGAGCTCAAAGTGCAAAGCGTGCTGCTTCCACAAAGTCGCAGCACCGGGTGACGGGCAGAAAAATGCTGAGCCTTGCCCTCAAAGCTGGTCCTTGTGGCAGAAACATGCCTGCTGGAGTTGAGCGGACAAGGATCTCCGTGAGCATTCAACGACCAAGATTGTGGGGCAGTTGCTGCGGCGGTAGCCAATACGTAGAAGATCTTCTGCCTGACCGGGCGCGCTTGGGGGTGACATCCGGAGGAGAAATCGTCAAGAGATTAAGAACAGCTATTGGCTCCCTCACCTCACTGCAAAGAATTGGAAAAGTTCGCAGCTTATACATACCCCAGGAGATGTACCTGATTCGCAAGGGCTTGTCTCATCGCGCTGGCGAACTTCGTGCAAAGGAACCGCCGGCGAAGTTTAGCGTGGGGGTCACCATGACGGTACGCGGACTTTGCGAGTTTGGGCTAGGCGGCCACATTGACTCGTCAACGGCAGAAAAGGCACGGCTGCATTCATCCTGTCGGTCGCATTGGGTTCCAATAGATGGAAGACGTCTTGCGTGTGAGTTCTTTTACCCATATGCTTGCAAGTGATGCATTTGCGGATGAGGCGGCTTCTCGACATGTGCGCGAGCCTTGTCCAGCCTTGGTTGGAGGCATGCTCCGTTTTGCTCCGTTTTGCTGGCTTTCTAGGGTGGCGCACTTCTTGTGCTTTGTGGAGGCCAACAATCCGAAAGTCAAAGCTTGAAGCTTTGGTTTTCGCAAAACCGGTTTTCGGTTGAAGGTGTTTCTCACGTAGGTGCGTCGGCCAAAGCATGCGGCGCAAGTTTCACACGCTTGCATCTTCACACAAAATGCAAGCGAAGTCGTCATTGGTGGCACTCGTACAGACTGCCTTAAAGGGAGAGAGCGGCACAAAAAAGAGCTGCTTCCTCAGAAGGCAAAATAGCAAGAATGGCGTAAGTTAGAAGTTCGTGAAGATCACAGGAGAGCTCGCAGCTGGCTTTGCTTTGCGTGCTCATGCTCCAGGCTTTGCAGGAGACAGCTGCAGCCCACGGAGTGGAGCCAATCATTTTACCAGGCTTGAGAGTGGAATGGATCGTTTGAGAGTGTAGGATCGTGGGCAGGTTCATCGAGTGTATTTGGGTGTAATGAGCAATGAGAGTTGCGCATAGCTGAAACTTCAGCTCGCGTATGAGCCAGGTGTGGCACATGATGTCATGCTGGGAGCGAGGCAGGGTGTGTCCCAACTTGTTTTTGCTTTTGGGATGGGTGCCCAAGACTCTGTCTTTGTGGGGAGGTGGAGGATGGCTGCGGACGCTATTCTTGCCTGGCTTAAGCATGTACGTCCTGAAGCGTGAGTTCCGAAGACTCGGAACACCACACCTTGTGGTTTGTCACCTTAGATGGAGGGAGCGAAATTAATCCTCAAATCCTCAACTTGCTCATGAAAGCTTGAGCAGTGATTGGATTGCACGGGAAATCTGGCATTCGCACCGCCGGAGCGGTAGAAGGAAGAACGCGCAAACGTGATAAGCAGTGGGTGACGGAATCTCTCGCCACTGCCTGTGGCTGAGGTGGTCTCAGCTTCATTGCGCTTTCTGGCTTTCAGTACCAGGGTTTGGCCTGTGGTCATCGGGCAGTCTCATCTCCTCTCGTGGTACTACTGTCTAGCATCACGTCCGTTTTTCATTTGGGGGACACTGTGTGCAAACCAGTCCCTCGGAGAGGGATGGATACTTGGTTGGAGAAGGGTAGATTCGGCAAGGCAGCCACATGGGGACTCTCGAGGTGGAAGACATGACGGGGGCATCAGCCGTATCCGTGGCCTCTTTCCGCACACGCGGCTCCAGTCTCAGTAGCTTAGTGGGGGCTCATTCAGCAGGAAATGGCACCCAATGATGCTGGGCTCTCGGCCGCGCCACCACGCAGTGGCAGAGCCTTGCCGTCTATTGCCTGCTGAGGTCTGCCTTACTCTAAACAGAGGATTGCAGGAAAAATTCGCCAAGGCGTGCGTTCACGCTGCTTGGTGTGTTTTTCAAGGCTTGTGAGTCGCGGTCTGCCAGGCTTCAGGCACTGATGCAGCACGCCGAAGGCGTGTTACTGAGCAGCTACAACCCGCCCGAGCCCCCAAGCCTTTCAAGGGGGCCCCAAGCCTTTGCAGGCGTGGTCTGCGTCACAAGTCTGGGCTTCTTATGCAGTTGCAACAGCGGTGCCAAAAGCTGCCAGCTTTGCGGCTGTGGCTTGGCCAGCAAACGAGTCGAAACGAGTCGGAACGAGTCTGTTGCTTGCCATGCCATGCCATGTGTCGCCATACAATGCGCGCCTGTTTGGGCATCCGAGGATATCTGCTTGCATCGTTTTTTGGGCTTCAGGGCCCATTGTCGCTGGTAATCAGGTGATTGGCTTAAATTGAAGTTTAAAGAAGTGTCCTTAAGAAGTGTCCAACTTGCATGCTGAGCCAGGTCACCAATGTACAGTTTGTTGATGATTTTGAGGAACAGTGCGACTTGGTTCGCAATGGAGCCCCTTGTGGAGGATACTTGTTTCTCATCATGTGTCTGCGTGGACCCATGGTCTAAGGGAAGTTGCGTGGAACAGTGAGTTGGGACCCGCCGCCGGACGTTACAGGCATAACTCACTATATTGCCGCTTGCCTGGAGCATCGCTCGCCCGTAATGCTCTCAAAGTATGGGTAGAGCTCGCTTACCAAGGTGTATACGGCATGTAGCATCGATCTCGTCTATGACCTGACGCTCCCCAATGTCAATTCTGAAGCTGACCTTCCCAGAATTCATTATGGTGCCACAGGCCTGCAATGGATTGCAATGGACGTCGACTCTGTTTGTACCTTAATTAGGCCCTACAACACGATATCTTGATCCCGAATCCCAACATTGAGCGACAAAAGCCTACTTTTATCATGAGAGTTGTCTTCAAACCATCATCTCATGTCTTTCCTCTTGCTTGAAGGCGAGAATTATCAAGTCCCGGCCGCATTCCGAGAACCTAGCTGTCATGTGCAGATTGAAGACATTCCCTGCCGTGCAAAATATTGTGGTCACCACAGCCAGACGCGAGCCAGATTCAGAGACAAAGGTTGGCACGAACTCGATATATGGCGTCAGGGGTGCAGGCGAATTCTTCTGGAAATACTGCGGCTCCATCAGTCCTGGTCTTAGGTCTCGCCGCAACCTCCCCTGTTTTCAAGAGCCGAGCCCTGGACAGCCGAGGTAGCGGCCAGTTCATCGATCCTTATGCCCCTGCCTCAATTTAGCTCAGCTCCGCACGTCCAGCAGCCTCCAGAAGAGCCTCCAAAAGAGCCTCCAGAAGAGCCTCAGCTCCTTCTCTTCCCCCAAAAAGGCCGTGTACTTCGTGGTCGTACCATACCCAGATGCGTGGGGCACCTGGCCTCCGAAAAAGCCGTAAAGCCGCGCTGGATCTCTGAGAAGACTTTGCATGGCTCAGGGGTTCCTCAACCTACGGAGTGGGCCATTGCTCCGACCTTGGTCTTCACCATCTTTCACCTGTTAGCTGATGGAACATCCCTTGCACCGAAGCAGGCGGGGAGTCGGGTGCTTTTCTCTCGAGAGGCTACGACCACATCAGCTCGGCGAACGGCGGCACCGTGCCCGATCCGCCGCCGCTGTTGTTTGGCTCCTTCTCTGACACAGATCCAGATGCGGGTCAGGCATCCGAGCATGTCCTTTGCTAAGCCGCCGCCAATGCCCACTAGACCTTTCTTGACGTTGTCCAGTTTTGCAGTTGCAAAGTCTGGCAGGTTGGGGGAACTCTGACCTGGACTGTGGATGGAACATACAACATGGGCTTTGACTACACGACGCTGCTCCCCGCCCATAGTTAGACACAGAACAAAACACAGTGTTTAGCAACGGTCTGAGTTTCAGAGGCGCTGCGTCAAGCTCAGGTCGTACTATGCCCTCTATTTGGCGCTTGACACCGGTGGAACTAGTCGGTCCGAAATTGCCAGAGTGCAACCTGGATTGCTTAGCTCCCTGGCTACGACTCAGCTCATCTTTTGCAGCGTCCAGACTCAACAATACTGCGAAACGCTTCAATCAGAGATGTTGCCCCCTCGCAATAGGTTACACCATCCCAGACAACACGGATCAGTCAGGGGCCACCTGTCTCGTGTGGCAGCCTTACCTGTGCCACTGCCAGGGTCTTGCAAACGGTTTATGATTGCACATCTTTCCGGTGCGCACCCTCAGCAAGCAAATGCGTCATCGCCCCCAGGATGTACGGAATCAACTCGCACGGTGAAGCTGCAACCCCGTCATTCGGCCACTGCTTCGAAGCATCGGACGGAACATTCACCACTACCACTGCACCTTGGATGACCAAATCTGCTGTCCACGCATAGGCAAGTCATGTCAACACTTCAGCTGCAGTATTTGCACATCTTTCCGAGAGCTTGGGTTGGGCAGCAGCAATTGCTAATTTTAACGCTACGCGACCCGCCTCGGCCCGGCGCAGCGCATCCGCGTGAGCATAGTGATTCCGCAGCGCCCAAGGCGCTGGACCCCAAGCAATAAGGGTTGGGTTTAGGGTTTAGGGCTGGTTTATGGTTTGGGGTTTAGGGTTGAGGGTTCGCTAAGGGTTGAGGGCTTAGGGCTCAAGGTTCACGGGTTGGGTTTGGGTTTTTGGGTGCAACGTTCAAGGGGTCTTGAGCAAACCCCCTCCAGCAAAAGGGCGGATGGGCACAGAACAGCCAGGGGGGGGTGGGGCAAGGGGGGGGGGGGCGGGGGGGCAGGGGGGGTGCCTGTTCTCACAACCTATACACCTTCGGCCCGAGGCCTCGGCGGATACCACCGGTAAGGCACATGGTAAGGCATTTTGCTACTTCTCGCTGTACTGTGTTCCGTGCTGTTGAGTCATGATCCCTAGAGCTTCGCGGCGCCAAGCCATCCTGTAGCAAGAGCAGCAACGTCGAAATCAACAATAGCAATCGAGTCTAACAACACCAACTTCAAGAAGAGCGGCTGCAGCTAGCACTAACAATGACTTTGCTAGAAAACGGAAATGAGAAGAATCTTCAGCTTCGGCAGCGCATCCCTCACTGGCGTTAGTTGGCCATTGGCTTGCTTATTGGCCCTCATTCGCCCCCATGTTCGTTCCATTTTGGTTTCAGGGGTTGGAATGCAGGGTTTAAGGGAGGTCCCCAGTTTGGGGCTTGTCAATAGGCGCAGGGATGGGGCTGACTTTGTTTCTCACAGTTCTTGCCCCTTTTGCCCTTATGAAGCCAGAGACTGCGTTGGCAAGGTAACAACAGCAACAACAACGACCACATTGACATCCACCGTCACCGTCGACCCCAGCCAGGCGCGTGTTTTTTTGTGTCTTTAGAGGCTGTTTGCAAGTATTATGAAGTATTCTGCTTCACGCGGGAATGGTTTTGCGAGCTTTGCGCAAACTGTCGTCAGGCCGCCATCACATCTGTAGCCTTCACAGACACCAGTACTGCGTATGGCTATTGGATCGATGGCACCGTGACTTGGGTTGCCCCGAACAACCCGGCTTTTGAGTACTTTCGAATTGTCATGGTGCTGGCCTCAGTGCTGAGACGAGCAGCAGCAGCTGTTTTATGTCGGCAGCCTGAACATCTTGTGCCAGTTCTAGAACAACGTAACATATCTCAGTCTGCAACCAGCACTGGCGCCGACGGTGCTATCATGGTCGTGCCTTTGCCGCAGTGAGCTGCAAGACTCATCATTCTATGTTGCCTTCGAGCCCTTTGCGCCAGGACAACGTAGACAAGAGCCTAAGAACCTACGAGATTGTGAATTCGGACGCCAGAGGAATCGTGCGCGGGACCGGGAGTGCTGCAAGTGCTCTGTTTCAGTTTGTCTGTATTTGCCTCGGTACACAACAGTTGCGGAACTCTTGGGACAGGACAAGCACAGGAGGGATTTGGGCCAACTACATTGTAGTGCTGGCCTATAGCAACTTGGCAATGTGCTTTTCACACATACTTCGCATACGTCGCATCCAGCGGTCCGGAGTGCATCTGGCGCTCTGAGGAAGCGGAGTCTCTTGGCATCCGAAACAGATCGGCTCCTTGTGCGCTTGCGTCAAAGAATCATAGCAACGCATAGCAACCTTGGCACATTTAAGGCTTTCTCTCCCGCCAATGAGGCTCGGATTGTGTGTGCAGCATTTGGCCAGCATGCAAAGTCACTGGCTCATTTCGTGCAGGCTGGGTCTCTCATGCTCACTGATCTCTCCGACGCCGTTGTGGGCAGTGCAACGCTCAGCGCTAGGTAGGCACAGAAAAGAACCCACAAGGTGCTCGTGCACGAGAGTGATAATTGTGTGATAGGGGCGCAGTGACATAGCGACATAGTGAAGAGATGACTGTTCGCCAGCTTTCGGTGGCGACTGGGCTGGACTTGCCCTGGTTGACTCGGTGTCGTTCACAGACGCTGGGATGCACCTGATGCAACTGGGGCACTTGTGCCAGTTCTGTCAGTTCTTGACATTGCGCTCCCTTGTTGCCGTCCTTTGTGATAATGCAGCCGCATGTATGATGGTGAACCCCCCCCCCCCCCCCCCTCCTTCCACCCACTCCCTGGACCACCCGGTTGCTCGCGTTTTCGCGTATCTCGCAGTGCCTCCGCGTACAGTAGCCGACATACAAGACGTGGCATCCAAAACGTTTCCACAAGCGGACTCTGCTGCAAGCGGGGAGGAGCGTGGTTGGTTTACGATCTATGGTTTTGGGTTGGGGGTTCGAGTTCAGGGTTTTTCAGGTTTAGGTTTAGGGCTTTATGTTCTGGGCTCTGGGTTTTAGGGTTTGCAGTAGCAGAGTTCAGGGTTGGAAGGTTTTTTTGGGTGGGTTTCTTGGTTTTCTTAGGAGCATTTCGTTAAAACAGCAACCGCCGAAGGAGGAAGGACCGAGCAATGGTACACGGAGCCGGGCGACGAACCGCGCAAATTTACAGCTCGACCTGGTAATGCCCGCAGTCGAAGAGAGTAGCACCCTTTTCATCCCTCTTTTGTCGCCGGGGCAGAAGAGCATATCGGGTTGACCAGTCATAAGGACGACAATCCTGCAGCCAATCTGCTGACCGGGACGGTCTCGTGGTCCTTCGTCGCAAACACGGACGGGCTGTGCATGCTCTTATGTTCAATTGCAGTACATTTGTCCCTGCCTGCCAGGACTATGGCTTTGTGTCAGAATGGCGAGTCTACATTGCGGATGACGCATTGGGTGACCTGCATTGGTTTGTGACCGTCACGTGGGGAAAAGTGCTCTCAGTCACCTCGCCTGATTCGAAAACGAGAAAGCCATGAGTCAGAACCGCTTCAGACCCAAGTCGAGAACAGAAACGACCTCCCCAGAAAAAAAAACCGGAAGTCCTAAACGTTCATGATCTCGGATGTGTTAGGGTTCAGGAATTTAGGGTTGGGGGTTTGAGGGTTTTAGGGTTCTAGGGTTCTGGGGTTCTAGTGTTCTAGGGTTTGGGGTTTGGGCTTTAGGGTTCGGGCTTTCAAGGTTGCAAGGTTTTGAAACCTACGTCATGCGCTCCTGCTTCGGGACCGAAAGGATTGTAGGGCCCATGGGGTTTGCGGTAGAAAGGGCTTTAAGGTTCATGACTTCAAGGTTTTGGGGACTTGGGCTGCTGACTCAAGGTTTCAGGGCATCAATGGCTTCAGGGTTTCGGTTGGTCAATCTCAGTTCCCGTTTTGCTCGCCATTATCTTGTTTTGTTTTCTGACTCATACCTTTGTTTTCTGACTCCCGTTTGCGGCTCATTTTCCCCGACTCGCGGGTAGAGGTTGTGGTCCGACAACATTCGCTGATTGTGTGTCCCGCATTGGCTTGAGCAGGTACAAACAAGCAGCTTATCGCGCAGCCTTCAAAGGAGCTGGCGCAGGTGGCGGGAACGTGCTCGAAAGCACTTGAGCGCTTAAGGTCTCACGCTGTTGGGATGAAGCACATTCCTGACATGAATCGCTTGGTGAAGTATTTGCGCAATTCTTGGCCGCATTTTTGACAGGTCTCGATCACGAATGTGGCTTGTGACATCGATAAATATTTTGCATCTTGGCTATTGGCCATCAGAGCCTTCAGGGCACCGGCGGCTTCGAGTTTCCGGTAGTGCTGATGAAAGGTTGATGCCTTGAAAGGTTCTGGTTTATGCTTACAACGAGCATGGAGAGTCGCCCAATGCTGCGACATGTTTGCATCAAGTTGAAGATGTCACATTGTGTCTGCCTGTGAGTGCCTGTCCCATCGTTACGCCGCCTGCCTGTCAAGACCGCTGGAGCCTTGTGGGACGATGGCCGCGCAACCACCACAACACTGACGATCACCACCACCACAGTAGATTGGCCTGGCTGCAAGGCCGGGATTGGAGGTTCTTAAGCTCTTGACAAGATGCAAGTGGGAAGGGGAACAATGCTTGGCAGTCTGTAACCTACACCGACACGGATACGGATGCCAACCAGCTTGGAGGCTCGAGTTTTATGTGTCTTTCTGCCTCTCTGAGCCTGTCTCTGTCTCCGCCTGTGTGTCCGAGCTTGCTTGTAATAGGCAAAGGCTTACACTTCAATTTTTGGGTCCAACTGATGGGGGTTGCTCGGGCGGCGCTTGGGCCCGGCCGACCTGTTGTGCAAGTGTGTGGAGATCGACACAACATCTTCACAACCCTTGCAGGACACACAAGGACCGGCGCCCCGTTGTTGTGCTGGCAAACGTGGCATCCGAAAGCTCAAGCGTAAGAACAATCATGATCATGGTGTGGAACTGGTGATGTTCCGGAGTAGGCCGCTGACATGGCTGGACAATGGTGGAGGGGGGGCGGGGGGTGCAACTGGCCGCAGGATGCCGCAGGTAATGGAAGGTCCTAGCCAGACGAATGCTTGGCTGCACACCACGGCGCGCATAGGAGGTGAGCACGTTTATGATTTCGACAGCTCCTCACCGCAAGCCTCATGCGGTCAAGAAAGATGTCGGGGAAGTTTGCAAAGGAGCAGCCTGTTCCTGCTTGCTGTAGTGTGTGTGAGTGGCGTGTGTGGCTCGTCGTGCTGAAAAGTATACGTGTCTGTTCTGGCGAAATGCTCCATCCGATGCCACACGCGATGTGTTCCAGTGATTCCAGTGCTCTTGCTGTATTCGCATGTCAGGGGTCATCAACTGGGTCCTTCCGGATGACGTGTCTTTTTTTACTCATTGGAGGGCCTGCTTCTCAGAAAATCAAAACTGAGCTGTGCTGGAGTTGGGTGTTGCTTGCTTGCACTTGTGCTGGGGTATTTCTTGTTGCTTAGGTCTACATGGCGACCACTGCGGAGAACACCAACGGTCAAGCCTTGGAAGATAACACCCAAGGCTTCAACATCCCGGTACCGACCTCTGGACGTTGAGACAGTTGAGACCTTCCCCCCCAAACTTTCACCTTTCAACCCTAAACCCTAGACCTAGACCCTAGACCCTAGACCCTAAACCCTAAACCCTAAACCCTAAACCCTTTCGCCTCTGAGGTGGGCACCAGCTTCCTCACTTTGAAGGCCAATCAAGTCAGGCTCGGTTTGTGTCTCAGCATGCTTTTGGGAGCCTCTGCTTTAAAAGGGAAGCTGGAAAGAGGGGTTACTGCAGGGAGTCAGAGCGGGGTGTTTGGTTGCGTGTTTATTTGTTTTGTTTTTGTTTCTTAATTTTCGTATCATCTTGATCTCTTGGAATCCTTTGCGTTTTCCTGCCAAGCCACCACGTTGCCAAGTGTTGTATGCGCGAAATACATTGACATGTACTGTAGAGCGCATGCCGGGTTCTTGCCCCCATGACATGTTCGGCCGTGGTCCTCGTGCTGCCAGCAGGTCGACAACAGATGCCTCACCGGCCAACTTCATCGTTGTGCTCGGGTGCTCCGCCCGACTGCTACCGGAAGACGCAGTATGTATACTCTGGATCTTCCCATCAAAAAAAGAGCAAAAACTTATATAGCTGCTGTTTCTGACATATGTGCAAAGCCTTGCCTTTGAGCCCCGGGTTACTCTATCAGGTACCGCAGTGATCTGGGAGCTGCAGCCTCAGAACCTCAGGATCACGGGAAGCTGAGACGCGGCTACGCTAGTGGCATGGCAAGTGGGTCAGAAGAGTGTGGAGCACATGTTTCAAAGAATGCAAAGTGAAACTACCGTATGCTTGCATACGCTTGCTATCAGGCGTATCAGAGTGCTTCGGCTGGCTGTGCGGCGATCTCATCTTGGGCTCCGAAGCAATTTGGGGAAATGGGCCCTTGATAGGAGTTTGATGTTGAGGCAACGGCTCTCTACGATGACAGTGGCGCAGCACCTGTTGACTCACCTTGGATCACGGCGGCTCGTCAGCAATGATCAGCAACTGGGTCACGAAAGAACTAAGCACGCTTCATCTTTTTCAGGAGGGACATCCCTAACCTCTTTTTCAGTTGATGTCCGTCTGCTCAGGCCCTCAACTTTTCTGACGAGGACCGGGTTCCGGGAACATCTTGGACTGGATGTGACCAGATTATCTAAGCTTGCTGCAGCCTTCGGCCGGCTACGTCCAGAGAGCAGACGGTTTTTGGGTGAAGGTTGGAGGATTCGCGGCTGACTCGGGAAGGTGGTGGAGAGGCTGCTAGTTACAAAGAAAAAGGAGGGGAACGTAGAATCAATCCAAGAGCTGGATTCGGGCTCAGGGTTTAGGGCTTAGCTAGTTCTTTAAGGGCTTTTGTGGGGTTTAGGGCTTCAGAGCATGTTTAGGGTTCAGGACTTAGTGTTTTTGGTTTTGGGGTTTCGGGAATTTAGGGTTTAGGAATTCAGGGCTGTGGGGTTTTGGGATAGGGTTTGCAGGTGTTTCTGTCAGGGTCAAGGGTGTTGGGGTCCAGGGTTCCCAGGTGTCTGTTTAGGGTCTCGGTGTTTTGTTTTGTTAGGGTTCTTGGGTGTAGGGTTCTACGGTCAAGGGTTTTCATGTAGACTTACACCTACCATAGAGTTTCGCATGTTCTTTTCCTTATGGTCCTCCCGTAGTGCTTCCTCCCAAGCAATAGTCAACTGTATTAAGCCCCGGAAAATACCTACATGTAGACTTACGCGTGCCGTAGAGCTTCGCATGTGCCAATCTCCTCCCGTAGTACTCACGTGCGGTATCGTCCGTCCGAATTGCCGCGTCCCAGTCCCGGAACGTCTGTTCGCGGTTCCTGAACGTCGGCACGCATCGCGCGATTTCGGTTCTTGAGTTTCCGCAGTTCCCGAATTTCGGCATGTGACTGTCGAGACTTGGTTCCTGAATCTGGCGCCCGAATGTCTTGGCATCCGCATGCGGGGTTAGGTGAAAAGGGGGGCACACACACACACACACACACTGGAGCTTGTTAAAGGGTGCACATATGGAATGTGATGTTCGGGTGCGGGGAGGATGAAGGTGCTGGCGCACGAGCTCGGTAAGGGTAGGGGATGAGCCAGGTAGTGAGGGTGTAGGTGGGGATGAGTTACGTGGCGGATTAGATTAGTATATTGACCCTGCTGACCCTATATTCCGATATCTTTGATACGCAAATATGAGCATTGACCAAGATTCCAAAACGGCAGCTGCCCGATGTCGCGCACAGGATCCGAGCTGGGAGTATGCCAACGGCACCGTCTCGTGGACTCAAGACAGCCTCACAACTGATCAAGCATCGGCGGGGAGCCTGGATAGCCTGGCAGAGCGTCAAAACCATGCGACGGAGCTCATTCTTGCTCACCTTCCGACTCAAGCTGTGAGGTGTCGCATTACAAGGTGTTCTTGGCCGAGGCCGGGATCTCATGCAATTCTCTAAGGCAGATGCAGAGCAGCTGGTGTGCTGCTGCTCTCAAGCCGTAGTACCCGCTCCCTACCAACAAAAGCAAGGGCAAACAAAAACAAACTGAGACCGAAAAAGAGCCGAAAGGGGGCCGAAAGGCTGAGCACTGCAGGATGCTACCGGCACAAACCAGCTGCTGGTCAACACCGTCTCTCGCGACAGTACCACTGCTGCGGTGGCCAGCACGATGATAGGCTCGGGAAACGATTGCAGTAGAACGCCACTGACCGGCTGGACTCTGCGTTTCGGAACATGGCCTCAGGATATCGCAACTTTGTGTTGGTGTACTCCTCGAATCCCGGCCAAGGGGGGAAAGGGAGGAAGCCAAGAATCTAGCTAGAGATCCAACAGCGCTGAGTGGCCACATTCCACTTGTGCTGCGTTCAGGAACAACTACGGGGATGCACCAACTCCAGTATCTGCGGAGTACCAGGGCAAGAGCCCCCTCACCACTGTCACGCAAACTTCAACATCCACTTTCACTGGAACGACGTCCTCCACAACGACGTCGCAGCCGCCTTCCTGAAGTTTGCATTCGATTTGGTTCTTGCCGTTCGACCTGAGCTTGTCGTTCAACGTCTTTCGCTTGTGCGCTTTACACTTAGGACTGCAACCTCAACCGATACCACGACATCAGAGTTCACGGTGGGGGTCACCAACGTTCAGTTCTGGGATACGAACCCAGACTACTTCCGCATCGGTGGAACCGTGAGTTGGGCGACTAGGCTTATGGCTATGAGATATGCTGTGAGCTTTATCATGACTTGGAAAACGACGCATGAAGATGATATGCAGACCGGCCCAGGACGAGCCAGCAAACACTGCCGGCATTGTGGAGTACCGTGCCTTGGTGGTGAGTTCAGAGCAGTCTGAGTCTGTTGGTTGAGCAGCGCGGGCGGCATCATGCAAGTGTATTTCCATTTGGCGCAGCACCTGCATCTATAAATGCAACTAAATGCAAGGCAGCAAGAACATCCAGATCCAAGCATCTGAATCCTCAGACCAAAGCAAGAAAGAAACAGCCGAAAGCCGACGCATAGTTTGATGTCGGTCCAACTCAAAATCGGTGCACATGGTCCATCACATCAGGAACCAAGAAAAGATAACGGCACCTAAATACGAATGTACAAGCTGGTTGCACCGTTTTTCAGGCAAATCCTTCATCAAGTTTAGACCAACCACCAAGAGCACAAGAATGCCGAGTTTGTCTGGAAAAGCTGGATGCGGGGAAAGACTTGGAAGCGTAGATAACCGCAGCAAATCCCAGCATCACCAGGGCCAGGCACGCGCTAAATCAGCGGCTGATCAGATGCATTTGATGACTGAGTGCAGTGCCCACATGCTACGTGTTACTCAGTATCTTGGCCTAGTAGTCGTCAACATCCGCAACGGTCACAACGGTAGCATGATGGACTGAGTTCAGAGGGCACGCAGGGGCTAGTAACACGTAAGTGGAGGAGTTCCCCGAACTTATGGGGAGCTCCGTATCCGCCTTAGGGGTCTGAGGCATGAGCTCGTAAGGTTGCGAGGCCCAATAACTGCCAGCACGGTAGCGGAGTGCTTCCAGGGTTCCTGCCTGAGGCCGAGCTGTCTTGAGGAGTGCCATCAACCATCAACAATGAGAGAGAGGAAGGCTGATGTGAGGCACCACCACTGGGAGCAGGAGGTCTCTCTCCCTACGAGGAAGAGATCATAAATGTCCTTGCAAGCCTTGCAGGCCTTGCAGCTGGGCATAGCATGCAGCACCCACGGCACCTCCGGCCCTAAACTTCCAACCTTCATACAAAGGTTGACGATACGGACAGAGAGACATCACACCGAGTGAGAGCATTCCCAGCCTCTGACAGAGCTGACAGAGGTGTGAGATTGGCATTTGATGTGGAAGCCTCCAGAGAGCAGCTGGTCTACGAGCCGAACCTCGGCTTTGCGACGCTGCCCGGCGCAATAGTTCTCAGGCCTTTTCCATTTGGATTTTTGTGAGGACACAGTGACAGGTGACATGCGGTGGGCCACGCTTGAGTGGATTCTACCTTGAGACCTGGCGGTTCGTGCTTGTTGCACTGAGGGCTGTGCCAGTGGGGACTTCTTCCTTCTACATTCTTGACAACACGGCAAGGACACGGAACGATGCGTAAAAGAGGAAGCTCGGGAAGCCGTCCCTGAGAAGTTGTGAAAAGCTTGCATGTGATCTCGAGGAGATTTTCGTGCTGTGATCCCTCTGAGTATCCCGCGGCATGGATTATCGCATGCTTCTGAGTGAGCGTGTCTTATCACTTCTTCATCTGCTCGCAGAAAAGTGCCCTTGTGCCGATTCGGCCTCCTTCAGGTGTACACTGTCAAGGACGGAGGTCAGCAACAGGCCGCCATTTATGCCGGCCATGTCCTGATCAAGGCGAGTCACTGCCAATCAGCTTGCACCACTGTACTTTCGATGCCTCATTCCACCGAGGACAACCAGACAGCGCAGGTGGCAGACAGCATCTACGTCCAAGAGCTGGCTCTCGTGGCGGGGGACTTCTTGCGTAGCGGTTGAGTCCTTCTGAGTCCTTGCTGGCCTGATGTGATCAGGATAATACGCCTGAAGCACAAATCAACATCACGCTCACTGGGGACTTGTCATGGAGCAGAGCTTAGCTGTATTTGTCCACGCCTGTGGCGATTCGGGTTTCCACCTGCGGGCCGCTCAAGCATGGGCACCCCGCAGCTTAGTCCGAGGAACACGACCGGCCCCGATTATCCAGCCGTTGGGGAGGCCCCCCTTCCTCTTCTTCGGACTTTTTGTTGACCTGTTTGACATGTTTGCTTTTGACACAGTGGTTTTCTCGCCTGGAAACGTGAGAGTTTGCTTGAGGATTGGGGCCTCATAGAGACCTGGGACATCTACTTGGCTCAGGAGCCGAATAAGACATGTAAAAAGTTGATGATGGTCACATCTCCCTCTTGTCAAAGATTAAGCACCTGCGGCCTCTGACAGGGTTCCCAGCTGGCAACCAGCGCGAGGCCAGCTCAGGCATCAAACAAGAAAGACCAGCAGCTCTCTGCTCTGCTTCAGGTACATCGCCAGTGTTCCGCTCACCAGCAAGACGTACACATTCAACGCAGAGCCGCTGGATGCTCAGATGCCCGACAGCCGTAGCCATGAGCTGTAGAGACCAGGGTCTGGCTCCAGTCTGGCTCCAGATCTCTAAGACTCGTTTTTCATTTTCTCTCCAATGGTTTATTTTTTTGTGCATCTTGGCCGCTGCTCTCAGGTTAAACTCAGGTGATGATGCGATAATTGTCTACGCATCCAATACGGTTGGGAAGGTGGGGATCTGTTGCGGTCAGCCTCATGCAATGACTCGGGCCGGTGAGTGAAACGTGGTGCCCTTGCTCGCAAGGCACCGTTCGGTAGTGCAACTGCCTGAGCTTTTCTGGCGCGCAACAGAAATGCTTATTTGTGGCTTTGGATTTGCATTTCCGTTTCGAGAGGTCGTCCAATTCGGCCAATTCGGAAGCCTTCAGACGACCTCCACCACGACAGGCTCCATGGGACTCCGAACGATTCTGGCTGTGCTGACATGTGGTCAATATGTGAAGTCACGAATACACCTGTTGTCTCTCGAGTCTCCTCCACGTCGACGAAACCTCTGACTTCGCTGTATGGGCTGACCGCCAGGGGCCTGTCTATGCATTGTCTTCACTTGCACCGAAGGCTAAGCTGTGCTGACTGTGCCCCAAAAGGTCACCTTCACCGACACGGACACGACTGCGGATTCTTTACTAGGTGCCTAATGGCGTGTGCAAATACTTTGCGAACACTTGCATGATCTCGCAGCCTGGGCGGGTTGGTGCCATTAGGGTTTCCGGCTCTCCGATAGAGGCACAATCACTTGGCAGCCTCCCGTGGATCCATCGTCACTGACTTCGCCCGATCCTCAGCCTCCACCACAGCCAGAGCTCTGACAACCTGTTCGCTCAACGAAGCCGTACGACAGGTACAACATCTACATGGCCAGTGACCAGCAGGGCAGCCTGCTGGCGGCAACTAGTGAAGCTGGGCGTCGGAAGTGGTTGAGAGAGACACGCCCAACTTCTTACCCATGCCCTTCGTGTCCTGCACGCCGGTCCTCCCCATTCCGGGCCGCACGTGACCAAAACAGCCAAAACATTGTGTCCTCCCCTCGTGATACTGCACGGGTTCGCTTACTAGCTGATGGACTAGTTGTAGAGCCGTCTGTCTCATTTGCAGGATCTTGATTATTCAAGGCCTGCTTTTCACAGAAGCTGTATAGAACATCGCTTCCACGAAGCCAACCCTTCCCCCCGATCATCCCCAGCTGTCCGCTCCACGGCTTGTAGCCAATGCAGAGCATCCGTCGAACACGTGAACTTGAAACGTTCAACATCGCAAAGCCCTTCGACCTCCTGTTTGCGATATGCTCAGTTGCAGGCCAGCAGGCTCCACTCGCTGTGGTGGCGTCGCCAACAACCACATACACAATATCTACGCCGGCCACGAGAACGTGCGAGCCTGAAGTTCGCCGAAAGTAGAACTGCAGGCGATGGTGCCATTCTCCAAGGACGGGCAGTGCATCTCCGGCAAACTGGTTGCTGGTGTATCCGAGCACTGTCCTGCTCTGAGCATCTCCGTACCTGTGGGATGTCATGGGTCTACGGTTCTTTTCCGGTGCTACTCATTCTACTGTATTCTACTCTCTGCTGAATCTCTGCTGTCTGACAGGGTGGGTCCCTTTCCTGGACTGATGCAGCCAGCTTGCAGTTGCCGCAGCCACAGACGCCAGAGGCATGAACACGGCACATGCTGCACTGCTGGTCTTGTGGTCCCACCGCGTATTCGAACAACTGTCAACATGTTCTGCGTTCAAAGGCCGCCACAGTATGCAAAGAAAAGGGAACAGTTGCAAGTATCGCAATTTTGACCCTTGCACAAGATGAGGTATGACAACAGCGGTGCCGTGCCTGCACAGCCAACCTTTGATACCGTTTCGTTCGTTGATGAGGACCAAGTATATCGATGCTCCAGGGCATGTGTGCACGTGATTGCACGTGTCTGTCGCAGGATCCCACAGGCAACTTCGCCTCGGGAACTGTCAGGCCTGCTCGTCTCTTCGCATCGTCAATACTGCATGAGCGCGAGTACCCGACCTGGATGTACCTTGGTGCGTCATAACCGATAGCTCTAGATGAAGGTGGACACTGGCCGCTAACACCGACTTCGGGCACATCACGCATTACACTGTTTACCTTGCCGAGGACCAGGCTGCAGAGCACATAATACGGTTTGTTGGCTTCTGATTCTTGTGTCGTTTTCGGTTCTGTGCTGCGCGTGTGCTTGTTTCGCGTGTAGAACACTTCCCCCCAAATTTGTGCCAATTTTGATGGCGAGCAAGTTTTTTGCAGTGTTGCTTTCTGTGTGCCGTGTCTGTCGTATATTTGGTTTGGACTTCGCTGTAATTCAATCTGTACAGTAATTGGTTGTTTTAAGTTCTTGATGCTGGCTGCTCTTGTGGCTCGTTGATGTTTGATGCTACTGTTGCTCGCTGTCTGTCTCACTTGCACGTCCTAAGTTGGAAACGGTCATGACGCAAGAATTCAGTTTGCTGCAGCCAACAGTCGATTCTGCGTGGCAGCCAGATGCTGGCAATAGCTTGCAGATGTACTAGTGCAAGAGATTGTCAGCATGTATTCCAAAAAGGGATACCCACACCAGCGATTCAAATGGATCGCTGACAGAGTCTTGAAATAACGAAATCCATACTACCCCAAATGGGGTGATTGTGCGCGCGTGTCTCTGTGTGTGTGTGTACGCTCTGCTATCAAAGAGAGCAAAGAGTTATGCCGTGAATTTGATTTCCAAAATCTGAAGAAGCAGGGGGCACAGGGGCCCCAGCACAGCCTCTGCCAACGAAGCTCTGTGCTAGAAGGCCAGGAAGTGGGAACTGATCTTTCCCATGTACCTGCAAAGTCACATTGCGTGTGACGGTGTCTTCCCCGACGGAATCAGTTTGCAGATGATTGGACAACACGCGCCCGAATGCGCCCCGTGTTGGTGTTCTTCGTCGTACCAATTGTTGTTCTTTTCTTTGCTGGCGTCCCCTTTCCTGTTCGATCCTTTATCTTTTTCTCCTTCGCGTCCGCGAGGCGGGCTTGAACAAGATTGCCTTCGGTGATCCCGTCTCATGGGATGTCACGGAAGTGGTCGTGTCTACAGGCCTGGTCAATCATTGAAACCAGCAGTTCGTGGCCTGTGTGACACGAATGGTCAGGTGTTGAGCTGAACAGCCGGTCACATGTCGGGTGCTTGAAGTGACAGTAGAGGCGAGAAATCCCATACCCAAACGGCAATGATCTTGTCACTCAGGTGGTGATCTACGCGACCAACTCGTACGGAGACTCTCCCTCGCCAGGCACAAGAAGCTGCAGTTGTCCGACTTGAGATTGCACTTGAGCCATGCTCCTCTTAAGGCAACATCGTATCTCCTGCCGGAACATCCTATGAGTTTGCGGACCTGGGACAATCAACCACCACCAGCTCGACGAGCCGCGCCTGCACGCCAGTTCCTATTGAGCCTGCGCAGTTTTTTTTTTTTTTTTTTATTTTTCGCGACCTCACACGAGGGCGTGGATATGCGTGGATGTGTTGTCAGAGCTCGGTTCTGAACCTAGGACAACTGGTGTCACGGTGACCTCTGTCACCACTACGTCGGTCACGGGCACCACTGTCACCACAACCTCATTCACTTCTACAATAAGCACAAGCGGCACCTCCACGACAACGGTGACGAACACTCAAACAACCTCCACCTCACAGACATCGTCCTCAGTCACATCCAGCACTATAAGCTTGACATCCACAAGCACGAGCCGAACTGCCTCAACCACAACGACCATCACCACCATGACGAGCACGTCTTCCAGTATCACCGTCACATCGTCGACTGCCACCACGTCGACAGGCACGTCAACCAGCGAGACCGCTACAAGCAGCACCAGCATGACATCTTCAACTACTTCATTCACCCACACTTCCTCCACCATCACAACTTCTTCAGCAACTACCACCTCGTCGCTCTCGACAACCTCCAGCACTCTTGGCCGCAAGATGTCGCAAGTGGAAGCATGTTCAGCTTGCCTTCAGCATCTTCAGCCATTCAGCCTGTCCGATGTTGTTCCGTGAGTCACGCTGGAAGCAGGCACCTCCACGACCGTTCCGCCACTCCAAAGTATCATGGACGCTGCGAGGGCCGGGTTCCCACTTGCACCTGCCTAGCTTCAACGCTGTGCATCTTTTTGCACCGAAGAAGTGTGTGCCATCGCTGTGAACAGTGCTGCATGAAGGCCGCAGCGGCGCAAGCCGCGAGCGAGGGGAAGTCCTTAGCGGAGCAAGCAGCTTTAGCTGGAGAAGCTGCTCGAGCCACTCGGCACAGTTGAATCGTGCAGTGGCAGGCAGGATCTGAAGCCAGGTTCCGCGTTTGGTAGCTTGTAGCGGCTTGCCGAGAGCTGAGGAAGCAGCAGCAGCTTTGGGCCTCAGCATTCCTGAGCAGGCTGCCAAGAAGTACTTGTGCGTCTTTGTTCGGTATGCCATGGATTTTCTATGCTCGATTTCATGTAGGCAGCAATGGCTGGACTGGCTGCTTCAACGGTGGGCAGAGAAGCTGGGATGAACATCACGGAAGCAGCAGAAGCAGCTGGTCTTGCAGCTGGAGCTGTGGGAGCTTACTACAGCTTGTCGCTCCAGGCCCCATAGCAGTTGCCATGGCATCTCGAATCCTAGGACCTAGGAATCAGGCTGGTCCTGTAGGTGTCGTCCTCGTGCAGGTGCAGGCAGACTTCGCAGGAAAGGCTGCGGGGGTGGCCGCGGCCAGTGCAACCGCCGACGCTGGAGACCCCGCCAGTGCACAGGCCAGATCTCCCCCAAAATGTACGAAGCAAACATCGTCAGGCATGGTGTGTACAGGACACGGCTGGTTACTCGAAAAAGGGCACGTTCTTGCAACACTGCATTCCCAGCATTCCGACAAGCATTCCGACAAGCAACCGGTTGCAGAACTCTCACTTAAGAGCCTTGGCAGAGTTGTGCAGGCAGCTGCTGCTGGTACTGCTGCCGCCGACGCCGTCCACGTCTTTTCTGGGACTGCTTCTGCGTCAGCATGAGTTCACATCATTACTTCTGTTATTCCACATCGTCAGGACGCCGGAGGAGCAGGCCTTGGCAGCTGGCGCAGCCGCCGCCGCTGCCATTGCTGCTGCGGGAGGGACGCTAGAAGAGCAGTGGCCGGCTCAGAAGAACGCGTGCTTGGCGTGCTTTCCACCCGTGCTGCTTCACGTTGTTTTCGCATGCGAGCCAGTCTATGTCTGGCATCCTCCAAGGATCCAGGCAGCTGCGGCGGCTGTTGCAGCTTCAGGACATTCTGGGGAGAGTGCTGGGGAGGCATGCAGGCGATCCATGATTGAAAGAGCGGTTTTGAGACTGCAGTCGCCAGGACAGGCAGATGGATTGACGCTGGAGCAGATTGCGGCGCTGGCCAGTACAGCAGGCTGAGCGTGACAGCATGCACGCGATGGGGGCTTGATGTGCATCAAAGGGCACCGCATGAGGCAGTACACTGTCGACAGCTGCCGGACAGACTGCAGAGCAACAAGCTGCTGCTGCAGCTGCAGCTCGGCCGCGTTTCCATGTAGGTGTGCGGGATGCACTGCACATGGATCATGTGCCCCAGGCAGCCGTATCCACCGCTGCCTTAGCTGCCAATGCCACACAGCAGGCAAGGGCTTCGCGTGGGGCATATGACCTTTTCGAGTCCTTTCCTTATCAGGTGGCCGACGATCTCGCAGCCACAACGCTGGGCAGCTTGCTTGGTGCATTGTCGCCGGCATCCAATCAGACCAACTCGGCCAACCAGACATCTGTGCAGCAGGCCCGGGATCCTTCTTGTTTTGGGGGGGGCGAGTTGCACACTGAAAGTTGTCCAGCACCGTAGGATGCAACAGGGTCATGGTCGAAGCAGAAGCTGCGTAACTAATTGCCTGTCTGGCATGCCATGCTGCTTCAGGCGATTGCAGCCGGTGCCAGTGCGGCCGCGGCTGCTGCCAGCCTAAACATGACTGCAGAGCAGCAGATCACAGCAGCTGCACAGGCGGCCATGACGTCCGGCCAGGGCGCTTTAAATCAGGACGCTTGGCGGAAGCATCGAAAACTGGGCTTGGGGCTGCGCCATGTGAGAGACGTTGAGGTATACATTACGAAATCTTGAGAAATTCTGGCACTTGATGTGCGCCAGCGGCTGTAGGGCGCACATGAGCGCACTGAAACCAAGGCACAGTTGCAAGAAGCGGTTGCGAGTGCAGCTGGTGCAGCAGCAGCGACCGCCGCAGCAGCAGATGGTTTGACACCGGAGCAACAGGCATCCAGCTGCAAGGCGGTTAGATCGGATCCCCTCGATCGCCGCATGTTTCTTCTGCAGGCAGCTGCTGCTGGTGCTGCGGCTGCCGACGCCATTAGCGAGCTTTTCAGCGGGACTGTATTCCGGTCCAACGGATGTGCTGGCAGTTGTTCCAAAGAAAATGATGAGGGTGCACCCAAACATGTCAGGACGCCGGAAGAGCAGGCCTTGGCAGCTGGCGCAGCCGCCGCCGCTGCCATTGCTGCTGCGGGAGGGACGCTAGAAGAGCAGTGGCCGGCTCAGAAGAACGCGTGCTTAGCGTGCTTGCCGCCCGTGCTGCTTCACGTTGTCCTCACGTCGCATGCGAGCCAGTCTATGTCTGGCATCCTCCAAGGATCCAGGCAGCTGCGGCGGCTGTTGCAGCTTCAGGACATTCCGAGAGAGTGCTGGGGAGGCATGCAGGCGATCCATGATTGAAAGAGCGGTTTTGAGATTGCAGTCGCCAGGACAGGCAGATGGATTGACGCTGGAGCAGATTGCGGCGCTGGCCAGTACAGCAGGCTGAGAGTGACAGCATGCGCCCGATGGGGGCTTGATGTGCATCAAAGGGCACCGCATGAGGCAGTACGCTGTCGACAGCTGCCGGACAGACTGCAGAGCAACAAGCTGCTGCTGCAGCTGCAGCTCGGCCACGTTTCCATGCAGGTGCGGGATACACTGCACACGGATCATGTGCCCCAGGCAGCCGTATCCACCGCTGCCTTAGCGGCCAACGCCACACAGCAGGCAAGGGCTTCGCACGGCATCCAGGACAAGCATACCCTCAGGTTGTTCGTGTCTTCCTTTATCAGGTGGCCGACGATCTCGCAGCCACAACGCTGGGCAGCTTGCTTGGTGCACTGTCGCCGGCATCCAATCAGACCAACTCGGCCAACCAGACATCTGTGCAGCAGGCCCGGGATCCCTTCGTGTTTTGGGGGGGGGGGGGGGCGAGTGCACACTGCTAAGTTTCAACAAGGAAATTCTCCGGGGAGTTGAACGACATCTTGAAAATTATGTTCACATGGATTGTAGGCTGTAAGATTCCGAACACTGCAGGACCGCCATGTCTGGCGCAGCCATCTCCCGAAGCCCTATCCCCCCTCACTCACCAATAAGAACAACAACTTTGTTCGTGAAAACTGAACCCCAAGTCCGACTGAAACTCACGTTGCTATGTAACGAGTCTTTCTACTCCTACGAGAGTCAGGGTCCACGCCCCCTGGAGAGTGTAGGCAACAAGGCGGCGTTGGAAGAAAACTGGGAGCTACTGTGAACATGTGAACATGTGCAGAGTGAGATGACAATGAATGGCTACTTCTGGCAATTTCACGGATATTAGAATTTGAATGTTAATGCCTGCGTCAAATGTGCTGGGATGTCCGACTGTCAATGTCTCCCTTCCGCCCCCCACCCCCCCTCCCTGCCTCTTCCCGCCCTCCTACCTCTGATGCTCGTATGTCCTTCTCAAAGAAGAAATATGTGTATGTTGAATAATCCATATAATGCTTAACATATCTTTTGGGTTTTCATGGAAAATCATATATGGGTTGGGGTCTGGGAAGGGTCATGTTTGGTCTTGAGGCGTCCGAAGTCGGGATTGGTCTTTAAAAATATGGTCTCGGCTTGCGTTTACGAAGCAAACCTAGTAGAAAAACACACATCTGGGTTGGGGCCTGGGGAGGGTCATGTTTGGTCTTGAGGCGTCCGAAGTCGGGATTGGTCTTTAAAAATATGGTCTCGGCTTGCGTTTTGCGAAGCAAACCTAGTAGAAAAAACACATCTGGGTTGGGGCCTGGGGAGGGTCATGTTTGGTCTTGAGGCATCGTAAGTCGGGATTGGTCGTAAGAAACATGGCCTCGGCTGGCGCTGAGGAAGTCAGTGTCATATACAAGAAATTGTGGGTCGCGCTATTGTGCAACCAGGTGTAGCCTAGCTCCTTCTAGAGCGACAAAAACTTCTGGACACGTCCATGAAGCGTCGGTCACGGGTGGAAGTTTTCATCGGAGTTGAAAAAAACCATGGAAGAACGCAGTGCCCCTGAAGCAAGATCCATGCGCCGTAGGATTGAAAACACCCTCCTCAACTTTTCCGAAACATATACAGGCGGTGTCTCTTCGTGAAAGATCCTGGCGCGCGCGCCCATGCCTAGGTTGTAAGTTGTAAGTGGCAACCAAACACCACGAAAAAAAAAACTCGACTAGTTTCTGACACGAAAACATGGGCCCCTTGCCCACCCCCCCGCCCCCCCCAAACCCACCCCCCCCATCGCACGGTTCCTTGCTTGAATGCCCCCCCCCCACATTTTTTTTTTGGGGGCACCCCCCCCCCCGCCCCCCACCCCCCCCACCCCGCCCCCACCCCCCCACCCCCCACCCCCGTCGCCCTCCAGGTCCCGGTCGGTACCTGGTCAGTACCTGGTCACTAAGCGGTCGGTAACCGGTCGGTAATCGGTGGGGACCTCAAATTGCTGTTTTTGGCCTGTTTTTGGGCTCCCGACGGAGTACCGACGGGGTACCGACCGGGTACCGACCGGGTACCGACTGGGTGCTGACCGGGTGCCGACCGGGTATCGACCTCATCCTGGTTGGGCCCCCCCCAACCTGCGCCGCTTAAACGAGGGGAGTGGGGAGCGGTGGGCGGGGGGCTTGGGGGGGGTGTGGGTGGTGGGGTGGGGGGTGGGGGGCTTGGGAGGGGCTGGAGGGGTGGAGGGGCGGAGGCTGGAGGGGCTGGAGGGGCTGGGAGGGGGCTGGAGGGAGGGGCGGAGGGGCTGGGCTGGAGGGGGGGCTGGAGAGGCTGGGAGGGGGTTGGAGGGAGGGGCGGACGGGCTGAGGGCCTGGAGGGGGCTGCAGGGGGCTGCAGGGGGTTGGAGGGGCTGGAGGGAGAGTCAGACGCGAGTAGCATCGTTAAGTCAAGCAGTTTTGTCCGCCAGACTGGCCTCCATCGAGAACAAAACAGGAAACAGTTTCGATAACAATCTTCACGAGGCTTGAGTAAGCCCAATATTTCTAGGAGCAAGTCCAAGATTTCTCAGGATTCATGACAAGGTCAAGCCCCGAAACTTGCAGGGCGGATCCCGGTTTTCAGCGATCTGAACCAAGTGTTTAATGTAATAAACCGCAGACAAATCCCAGATTTCAGATGAGTAGATCCAAGATTCTACTTAGACAGAACCCAGATTTCCGGCCACAAGACCGCAGACAGAACCCAGATTTCCGGCCACAAGACCGCAGAGAGAACCCAGATTTCCGGCCACAAGACCTGAGAAAAAACCCGGCTGACGACACCGACTTTTGGGGATATGTTAAGCATTATATGGATTATTCAATGTGTATGTATACGTATGTATATACATGTGGTGGGGGAGTGTTGCGTATGGATGCACCTTAACCTTTGAGGGGTCGGTCTCGAAACCAATTGTACTTGCCTGTGACACTAAATGTGTTCCGGTTCATCACAACTATTCCAAAAAATGCAAGCGTAACAACTAGGCCGGTCCTGAATGAATTGAGGTGTGTACAGGGAGCAGTGCACAGGAATAGCTCGGCTAAGCTAGTGTCAGTGTACTGACGTTTAAAAGAGCCTAGGGCCGTAGTACATTAGCCTCTCATCCGTGCACCGTCCACCACCCACCCATGAAGCAGTAAGACGAATTCCAAGCTATCGTCCCCTGTGCCTGGAATTCTGTGTCCCCAAACGTCGCAGAGAGATAGAAGTGCAAGATTTTGGCCACCGTGCCTCGGACAGATCCCTGCTACACAGCAGTCGCGACATGTCCCCATGATATATATGACTCCATAGTTTTGTGAGCAAGCATACACCCATGAGAAAGACCGTTGGGTTTTGCAGCCCCTCCAAGTGGCACGAACAAGTCCGATGAGCCATTAAGCTGGAAATCGCATGCAGCCATGATTCGAAGGTCTTGACTTTCGCCCCGAACTGCGAAACAAGAATTCCCGCGTCGGTTTTTTTCGCAACCTTAATTCCCCTGACTTTTGAAATTTGGCAGTGCGCACTGACGGCTTTCCAACGCCGAAGGATGCAGCAGGTCATGTTGGAAGGAGAAGCTCGGGAACTCTTTACCGGCCTGGCATGCTATGCCTGCCATGCTGCTTCAGGCGATTGCAGCCGGTGCCAGTGCGGCCGCGGCTGCTGCCAGCCTTGGCATGACTACAGAGCAGCAGATCACAGCAGCTGCACAGGCGGCCATGACGTCCGGCCAGGGCGCTTTAAATCAGGAAGCTTGGCGGAAGCATCGAAAACTGGGCTTGGGGCTGCGCCATGTGAGAGACGTTGAGGCATACATTGCGAAATCTTGAGAAACTCTGGGCACTTGATGTGCGCCAGTGGCTGTAGAGCGCACATGAGCGCACTGAAACCAAGGCACAGTTGCAAGAAGCGGTTGCGAGTGCAGCTGGTGCAGCAGCAGCGACCGCCGCAGCAGCAGCTGGTTTGACACCGGAGCAACAGGCATCCAGCTGCAAGGCGGTTAGATCGGATCCCCTCGATCGCCTCATGTTTCTTCTGCAGGCAGCTGCTGCTGGTGCTGCGGCTGCCGACGCCATTAGCGAGCTTTTCAGCGGGACTGTATTCCGGTCCAACGGATGTGCTGGCAGTTGTTCCAAAGAAAATGATGAGGGTGCACCCAAACATGTCAGGACGCCGGAAGAGCAGGCCTTGGCAGCTGGCGCAGCCGCCGCCGCTGCCATTGCTGCTGCGGGAGGGACGCTAGAAGAGCAGTGGCCGGCTCAGAAGAACGCGTGCTTAGCGTGCTTGACACCCGTGCTGCTTCACGGTGTCCTCACGTCGCATGCGAGCCAGTCTATGTCTGGCATCCTCCAAGGATCCAGGCAGCTGCGGCGGCTGTTGCAGCTTCAGGACATTCCGAGAGAGTGCTGGGGAGGCATGCAGGCGATCCATGATTGAAAGAGCGGTTTTGAGATTGCAGTCGCCAGGACAGGCAGATGGATTGACGCTGGAGCAGATTGCGGCGCTGGCCAGTACAGCAGGCTGAGAGTGACAGCATGCGCCCGATGGGGGCTTGATGTGAAGGACCCTTCACGAAGCCTCAACGCGCAACGCATGAGGCAGTACGCTGTCGGCAGCTGCCGGACAGACTGCAGAGCAACAAGCTGCTGCTGCAGCTGCAGCTCGGCCGCGTTTCCATGCAGGTGCGGGATACACTGCACACGGATCATGTGCCCCAGGCAGCCGTATCCACCGCTGCCTTAGCGGCCAACGCCACACAGCAGGCAAGGGCTTCGCACGACATCCAGGACAAGCATACCCTCAGGTTGTTCGTGTCTTCCTTTATCAGGTGGCCGACGATCTCGCAGCCACAACGCTGGGCAGCTTGCTTGGTGCATTGTCGCCGGCATCCAATCAGACCAACTCGGCCAACCAGACATCTGTGCAGCAGGCCCGGGATCCTTCTTGTTTTGGGGGGGGCGAGTTGCACACTGAAAGTTGTCCAGCACCGTAGGGTGCAACAGGGTCATGGTCGAAGCAGAAGCTGCGTAACTAACTGCCTGTCTAGCATGCCATGCTGCTTCAGGCGATTGCAGCCGGTGCCAGTGCGGCCGCGGCTGCTGCCAGCCTTGGCATGACTACAGAGCAGCAGATCACAGCAGCTGCACAGGCGGCCATGACGTCCGGCCAGGGCGCTTTAAATCAGGAAGCTTGGCGGAAGCATCGAAAACTGGGCTTGGGGCTGCGCCATGTGAGAGACGTTGAGGCATACATTGCGAAATCTTGAGAAACTCTGGGCACTTGATGTGCGCCAGTGGCTGTAGAGCGCACATGAGCGCACTGAAACCAAGGCACAGTTGCAAGAAGCGGTTGCGAGTGCAGCTGGTGCAGCAGCAGCGACCGCCGCAGCAGCAGCTGGTTTGACACCGGAGCAACAGGCATCCAGCTGCAAGGCGGTTAGATCGGATCCCCTCGATCGCCGCATGTTTCTTCTGCAGGCAGCTGCGGCTGGTGCTGCGGCTGCCGACGCCATTAGCGAGCTTTTCAGCGGGACTGTATTCCGGTCCAACGGATGTGCTGGCAGTTGTTCCAAAGAAAATGATGAGGGTGCATCCAAACATGTCAGGACGCCGGAAGAGCAGGCCTTGGCAGCTGGCGCAGCCGCCGCCGCTGCCATTGCTGCTGCGGGAGGGACGCTAGAAGAGCAGTGGCCGGCTCAGAAGAACGCGTGCTTAGCGTGCTTGACACCCGTGCTGCTTCACGGTGTCCTCACGTCGCATGCGAGCCAGTCTATGTCTGGCATCCTCCAAGGATCCAGGCAGCTGCGGCGGCTGTTGCAGCTTCAGGACATTCCGAGAGAGTGCTGGGGAGGCATGCAGGCGATCCATGATTGAAAGAGCGGTTTTGAGATTGCAGTCGCCAGGACAGGCAGATGGATTGACGCTGGAGCAGATTGCGGCGCTGGCCAGTACAGCAGGCTGAGAGTGACAGCATGCGCCCGATGGGGGCTTGATGTGAAGGACCCTTCACGAAGCCTCAACGCGCAACGCATGAGGCAGTACGCTGTCGGCAGCTGCCGGACAGACTGCAGAGCAACAAGCTGCTGCTGCAGCTGCAGCTCGGCCGCGTTTCCATGCAGGTGCGGGATACACTGCACACGGATCATGTGCCCCAGGCAGCCGTATCCACCGCTGCCTTAGCGGCCAACGCCACACAGCAGGCAAGGGCTTCGCACGACATCCAGGACAAGCATACCCTCAGGTTGTTCGTGTCTTCCTTTATCAGGTGGCCGACGATCTCGCAGCCACAACGCTGGGCAGCTTGCTTGGTGCATTGTCGCCGGCATCCAATCAGACCAACTCGGCCAACCAGACATCTGTGCAGCAGGCCCGGGATTTCGTGTTTTTGTGGTGAATGGCACACTGACGGCTTTCCAACGCCGAAGGATGCAGCAGGTCATGTTGGAAGGAGAAGCTCGGGAACTCTTTACCGGCCTGGCATGCTATGCCTGCCATGCTGCTTCAGGCGATTGCAGCCGGTGCCAGTGCGGCCGCGGCTGCTGCCAGCCTTGGCATGACTACAGAGCAGCAGATCACAGCAGCTGCACAGGCGGCCATGACGTCCGGCCAGGGCGCTTTAAATCAGGAAGCTTGGCGGAAGCATCGAAAACTGGGCTTGGGGCTGCGCCATGTGAGAGACGTTGAGGCATACATTGCGAAATCTTGAGAAACTCTGGGCACTTGATGTGCGCCAGTGGCTGTAGAGCGCACATGAGCGCACTGAAACCAAGGCACAGTTGCAAGAAGCGGTTGCGAGTGCAGCTGGTGCAGCAGCAGCGACCGCCGCAGCAGCAGCTGGTTTGACACCGGAGCAACAGGCATCCAGCTGCAAGGCGGTTAGATCGGATCCCCTCGATCGCCTCATGTTTCTTCTGCAGGCAGCTGCTGCTGGTGCTGCGGCTGCCGACGCCATTAGCGAGCTTTTCAGCGGGACTGTATTCCGGTCCAACGGATGTGCTGGCAGTTGTTCCAAAGAAAATGATGAGGGTGCACCCAAACATGTCAGGACGCCGGAAGAGCAGGCCTTGGCAGCTGGCGCAGCCGCCGCCGCTGCCATTGCTGCTGCGGGAGGGACGCTAGAAGAGCAGTGGCCGGCTCAGAAGAACGCGTGCTTAGCGTGCTTGACACCCGTGCTGCTTCACGTTGTCCTCACGTCGCATGCGAGCCAGTCTATGTCTGGCATCCTCCAAGGATCCAGGCAGCTGCGGCGGCTGTTGCAGCTTCAGGACATTCCGAGAGAGTGCTGGGGAGGCATGCAGGCGATCCATGATTGAAAGAGCGGTTTTGAGATTGCAGTCGCCAGGACAGGCAGATGGATTGACGCTGGAGCAGATTGCGGCGCTGGCCAGTACAGCAGGCTGAGAGTGACAGCATGCGCCCGATGGGGGCTTGATGTGAAGGACCCTTCACGAAGCCTCAACGCGCAACGCATGAGGCAGTACGCTGTCGGCAGCTGCCGGACAGACTGCAGAGCAACAAGCTGCTGCTGCAGCTGCAGCTCGGCCGCGTTTCCATGCAGGTGCGCGATACACTGCACACGGATCATGTGCCCCAGGCAGCCGTATCCACCGCTGCCTTAGCGGCCAACGCCACGCAGCAGGCAAGGGCTTTGTGTGGGGCATCATGACCTTTTCGAGTCCTGTCCTTATCAGGTGGCCGACGATCTCGCAGCCACAACGCTGGGCAGCTTGCTTGGAGCACTGTCGCCGGCATCCAATCAGACCAACTCGGCCAACCAGACATCTGTGCAGCAGGCCTGGTATTGTGCCTGGTGCTGTTTCACTGGTGTTGCTTGCGTATTGCAAAGCTTGCACATTGCTCGTGGCCTAGCAATTGAAAAGCCTGCCATGACGTGTCGCCTAGCTGCCTTGCCGTGGCATCAGTTTTCCTCTCTCAGCTGCGCTGCCTTGATGTCACAATCGTGAAAGCTGCGCACTTGGAAACTGCCAGCTCTCAATTTGCTAGAATAAGAGGCTAATGCAGAGTGCAGAATCATGTGTGAGCCGAACGAGCTCGGTTGAGATTTTGCATCGGCACTCTTCGAGCTCGGCAGCCGGCAGCCGTGTAGGAGTCTGCCTGTCAACAAGCGAAAAATGTGTCCGAGAGGAGAGAGTCTCTGCATGCTTTGATGCCAGGCAACAGCGGCAGGTACGTCCGCTGCAGGAATCGCTGCAGCCGCGGGAATGTCAACAGAGCAGCAGATTACAGCTGCAGCTGTGGCGGCGATGACTTCGGGTCAAGGTGCCCTGAGCCAGGACACTTGGTGCAGAGTTTCTTGTAAACGCATCGTCCGCCTTGGCCGGGCTTGATGTGCAGAGGGGTGGGGCTTTGCGCTCGGAGTTAGCCGAGAGAGCTCAAGTAATGGTTGCAGGACTGAAGCCCGAATGTTCTCCATGCCACGCATGTCAAGGATAGCACAGAGCTTTGCTTGTACCGTTGTCCTAAGAGTCCCCCAAAGGATCCTGAAGGGGAGGAGCGGTTCGCCAGAGAAGGTCCGTAAGGGGTGATGGGTCCTTAGTGGGTGGCGACAGGGGACTTCACCCCAAGCTTTAACTTCCGCTTTGCACAACTTTGCCTTTAGAAACTCCCTGCCCTCCCAAAAGTCCTGCCCAAACCTTGGGTTTCTGGAAAAGGAGACAGGCCCCCAAAACGATGCCTCGTAGGCCAGTGACAGATCTGCAGTTTCTCTGGTCTGTTGACTTGCGTTGATTGATAAGGACGAACTACAGCAAGCGGTGGCCCTCTCTGCGGGTGCGGCAGCGGCTACTGACGCAGCCTTGGTTAACACTACCCCTCCGACCCCACCAGAAGATGCTCAAGTGTGGAAACCTGAAATGTCTGCCATTGTGCTCTTCGGCGAGTGGAATGTGCAGTCGCGCGAACCTGGGACCTCTGAGGCCGCAGCACGCGACGGGTTGGACATCCAGCAGCAGGCAGGGGGTTCTCAAGTACACCGCATCTCAAGCCTGAGTGTGTGAGGCAGTGGCCGCTGGCGCAGCTGCCGCGGATGCCGTCAGCCAGTACTTGAACGGGACTCTGTGGTTCAATGATGTTCAATGTGTGCAGCTGACACAGTAACCCAGTGCCCATAGACTCCTTTTGGCTTTCTGACAGCGAGAGTTTGAAGGAGCCCACAGCAGCAAGCGCTGGCGGCTGGTGTGGCTGCTCCAGCTGCTGTTGCCGCGGCTGGAGGTACCATAGAAGAGCAGTCGCCCGCTGAGTTTCCTGGAAGCTGGAGCTCTTCTGGAGCCGATGTTGAGTCATCACTCATCACATGTCATCTTAGACTCCGCCAAGCTGTTGTTTCTTGTAAGGATTCAGGCAGCCGCAGCTGCTGTTGCTGCCGCAGGCTGCCCTGGCAACTTCCAACTTTCTTCAAACTCTCCGCATGCAATTGCCAACATGTGAATACGCAAATGGGACACAGAGTCGTGCCAAACAAACCTCTGGAATATCAGGAATCGCGGATGGCCTGACAGTGGATCAGATCGCGGCACTTGCTGGTCAAGCAGGCCGGATCTTGATTTTATGAAGAGCCTCGCAAGAACAACTCCAAGAAAAAGGGGGGGGGGCCGACGCAAGACTGATAGGTGGTCGGCTTTTTCTGGTCTTCCCCGGACAGGAACGGTTCGGGGTTCTGTCCGGCTCCCGTTCAGAAGGAGAAGAAACATCAGGAGCCTTGAAAGGCTCCCTGCAGCTCCTGGGTCGGAGGGGTTGTCCATTCATGGCTGCCCAGTGGCCGCTCTACAGTGGCCTTTGTGGGCAACCTGGGGCTGGCTCTACCTGGCCTACCTCTACCAGTGTAACCCCACTCAGCGCTTCCATTTCCTCGGAGTCTTGGCTGTGCGTCTTTTCATGGCTTTGGGCTGGCTGCTGGCTCGGCAAGTGAGCTGGCTTAAGGCTTTTCTTCATGCCCTGGCTCAAAACCAGAGTTTTGTTCTGACCCCTCCTCGTGCCTCTATTCATGGCTCCCTTGCTTGCTTCACAACATGCTAGTCTTATCGTCGACTTGTCCTAAAGCCCCTGTTCTAAAATCATGCCAGCGCGCATGGAGCATTGTTCCAAAAACCAGAACTGGCCGGTAAGGGTTGGGTTTGCGAAGGCGTTGCAAATGGTCGCGTGTAAGGTTCATGACATGGACTTGACATGACCTAATCTAGCTGCTTTCCGCACCAGAAGCCAAAACCAGATGGTAGCCGTTTCCGAGCGTTCACAAAACATCAAATGCGAGAATCTGCAGAAGGCGTGCGAGGCGTGCGATAGAGCGCCATACGTTTGCTGCATGCCGTTGGCCCATCTGCCTTGTAGCGGCACTGTTCTAGAGTGTTTCTCAAGAATGGCTTGAAGCAGGCACACACATGCCGTTCATCCTGAAAGCCCCTCAAAACCGAGCTTTGACCCCTCCTTGCAGAAACTCAAACGTGCCAAGCGATCAATGAGCCCCCTAAGTGTTTCCACTTGAGAAGCGATGAGAGCGCATTGCAAAGCCTAACGGCGCCAAGTGTCTTTGTGCCGAGGGCAGCCGCGAAAGGGTGCGCGACAGGCGTCGCGGTTGAGAGGTTCCCGGGCACTTCACATCTCTGTATCTTGGGAAGTTTTCCCCCGAAGAAGCCTGCAGAGTCTTCTTGGGAGAATCCAGCACCCAAGCCCAACCCCAGAGCCCCCCCTCCGCAAGTAGACCAAATGTTGCTGGGCCTTGGGCAGGTTTTTTCTCACTATACCCATAGCCACAACACTTCACAAGCCGGATAGAATGGCAAAGAAGAAGTTGACCGTAACGAATAAGCTGTCCGAGAACCGAGAACCATGGCCGTGGCTCCGCGTGTTTAAAGCGCCGCCACGACTGCGAAGCGTGAGAATATAGCTAACGAACACCGCGAAGCAGCTCATCGGTATAAGTCACCGGGCAAACCTGCACATGTGACGATGGTCTTTTGTTTCAATGGCGGCTGCAACGTCCAAAGGGGATCATTGCAGCTTTGAGTCGGGCTCGTGCTTTATGCAGTTGCACGGCTCGGCTGTGGCCCCACATAGTTACGTGTTCGGTGTTTTTCGCTTTGTTCTGTCCGCTTCATTCCTCTTCTCGCGTGCTTGCTGCCTGTCGAGTTGTTGTGTCTTGCCTTGTTTCTTGTTCCTGCGGCCTAGCACCTCTAGCTTCGGCCGGAGGTTACCTTTGTTAGGCTAGGCTCGTATCGCTGTCAATTCCTCACTCCAGTCCGCTCAACTCTACCTGGAGCGGGGAAGGTCGAAGTAAATGATCCTGTCAGGAGGAATTTCAGGAGTTGTATCAGTAGTTGCAAATTCTTGCGCGCGACGCCTCGGCAGCCGCAGATGCGGAAAGCGGCCGTGGGTCGAGGAAAAAACGCCGGAGAGCAAGCGACCCATTAACACGAAGCCTTAATCCGAAGTTAAAGTGGGGACATATAGGGGTTGCTGGATGACCCTGGAAACCATGTTTGCCTCCGTTTGCAAGAAACAACCCTTGTCTGTTCTCGCGTGCTTGTTGCCAAGTGAAGTTGTGGGAGCCCCCCGAAGGATGCCGTGCAACAGGAAGCACAACCGTTGTCGTGAAGTTTGGGATCGCCTGGGTAGGGTGGTGGGAGCTGCCTCGAAGTAAAGATCGCAAGGGAGCAGGAGGGTTGTCGGGAGGTTCCCCAGAAAGTTAGGGTCACAGAATGTGTGTTGTGCGGGACACCCCAGAGGCCACCCCATGGCATACCGGATTTCAGCTTTGGTGGGATGGGAAGAGGGAGAAGGAGTTTAGATCGTTTCAGACAGTTGTCGGCCGGAGGCCGAGGCGAATGAAAGCACGATTCGGGGAAAAAACCAGGTGACCCTCAGCAGCAGAGACACGCTGGTGCGTGCTGCTCCTGTCTGACAGGCAGCGCCGCTGCCGGAGTTGGCTCAGGCACCACGGCAACGCAGTGGCAAGAAGCCGCCGCGAGTGCAGCTGGTGCCGCAGCAGCGACCGCCGCGGCTGCAGCTGGTTTGACACCTGCGGAGCAGGCATCTACGTGCAAGGCGCTTGGATTGGATACCCGCAATCGTTGCATGTTCCTTTGCAGGCAGCCGCTGCTGGTGCTGCCGCTGCTAACACCATCGGTGAGTTCTTCAACGGGACCGTGTTCGGTATATCCCATGGATGGGCTGTCAGTCGTTCTAACAGGATGACGAGGGTGCACCCAACATGTCAGGACGGCGGAGGAGCAAGCTGCGGCCGCTGGTGCTGCCGCTGCCGCCGCCATTGCTGCTGCGGGAGGGACACTGGAAGAGCAGTGGCCAGCTCAGAACCACGGCGATTGTCACACTGCCTTCTTTGCCTCGCACCATGACGTCTCATGCGGGCGAGAGTGTGTTTTTGTGTCTGGCACCTGCCGAGGATCCAGGCAGCTGCGGCGGCCATTGCAGCTTCAGGACATCCCCGGGAGAGTGCTGCCGAAGGATTCCATCGACCCACGTTTGACAGAGGGGGTTTGAGACTTGAGTCGCCAGGACTGGCAGATGGATTGACGCTGGAGCAGATTGCGGCGTTGGCGAGCACAGCAGGCTGAGCGTGACAGCATGCGCTGCGCGCAATGCCGTGTGATTTGAAGCTTCAACCGTCATGAGGCAGTACCCTGTCCGCAGCTGCCGGACAGACAGCAGAGCAACAAGCTGCTGCTGCAGCCGCAGCTCGGCAGCAGTCGGCCCGTTTCACATGGGATTGCGACGCTACGCACACAGAATCATGTGCCCCAGGCAGCCGTATCCGCCGCTGCCTTGGGGGCCAATGCCACGCAGCAGGCAAGGGCTCCGAGTAGTGTGCAGGACAAGCCTTGTTCTCACCCTCCCTTATCAGGTAGCCGACAATCTTGCAGCCACAACGCTGGGCAGCTTGCTTGGAGCACTGTCGCCGGCATCCAATCAAACCAACACGGCCAACCAGACATCCGCGCAGCAGGCCTGGGATCGTCCGTGTTTTGGTGCGAATGTCTGCTCTGGCATGCTATGCTGCATCAGGCGATTGCAGCCGGTGCCAGTGCGGCTGCGGCTGCTGCCAACCTTGGCATGACTGCAGAGCAGCAGATCACGGCAGCTGCACAGGCGGCCATCACATCCGGCCAGGGCGTTCTAGATCAGGACACTTGACGGCAGCATCGACAACTATGCTTGGAGCTGCATCATGTGAGAAACATCGAGATACATTGAGAAATTCTGGCGTTTGATGCACGCAAGCGGCTGTAGTACTGAAACCAAGGCACAGTTGCAAGAAGCAGCCGCGAGTGCAGCTGGTGCCGCAGCAGCGACCGCTGCGGCTGCAGCTGGTTTGACACCTGCGGAGCAGGCATCTACGTGCAAGGCGCTTGGATTGGATATCCGCAATCGCTGCATGTTCCTTTGCAGGCAGCCGCTGCTGGTGCTGCCGCTGCTAACACCATCGGTGAGTTCTTCAACGGGACCGTGTTCGGTATTTCCCATGGATGGGCTGTCAGTCGTTCTAACAGGATGACGAGGGTGCACCCAACATGTCAGGACGGCGGAGGAGCAAGCTGCGGCCGCTGGCGCTGCCGCTGCCGCTGCCATTGCTGCTGCGGGAGGGACACTGGAAGAGCAGTGGCCAGCTCAGAACCACGGCGATTGTCACACTGCCTTCTTTGCCTCGCACCATGACGTCTCATGCGGGCGAGAGTGTGTTTTTGTGTCTGGCACCTGCCGAGGATCCAGGCAGCTGCGGCGGCCATTGCAGCTTCAGGACATCCCCGGGAGAGTGCTGCCGAAGGATTCCATCGACCCACGTTTGACAGAGGGGGTTTGAGACTTGAGTCGCCAGGACTGGCAGATGGATTGACGCTGGAGCAGATTGCGGCGTTGGCGAGCACAGCAGGCTGAGCGTGACAGCATGCGCTGCGCGCGATGCGATGTGATTGTGTCATGATGTGAAGCCTCAACCGGCATGAGGCAGTACGCTGTCGGCAGCTGCCGGACAGACTGCAGAGCAACAAGCTGCTGCCGCAGCTGCAGCTCGGCCGAATTCAGCCCCACTTCACATGGGATTGCGATGCTGTGCACACAGAATCATGTGCCCCAGGCAGCCGTATCCGCCGCTGCATTGGGGGCCAATGCCACGCAGCAGGCAAGGGCTTCGAGTGGTGTGCAGGACAGGCCTTGTTCGCACCCTCCCTTATCAGGCAGCCGACAACCTTGCAGCCACAACGCTGGGCAGCTTGCTTGGGGCACTGTCGCCCGGATCCTCGCAGCAGGCCTGGGATGGTGGCATGGTGATGTTCAATGCCGAAAGGTGCAGCAGGGTCATGTAGAAGCAAAGAGACTGTGCCACGCCGCATCAGGCGATTGCAGCCGGTGCCAGTGCGGCTGCGGCTGCTGCCAGCCTTGGCATGACTGCAGAGCAGCAGATCACGGCAGCTGCACAGGCCGCCATCGCATCCGGCCAGGGCGTTCTAGATGAGGATGCTTGACGGCAGCATCGAAAACTGTGCTTGGGCCTGCGTCGTGTCAGACACGTCGAGATATACTCCTTGCGAAACTGTGGCAGTGCGGCTGAAACCAAGGCACAGTTGCAAGACGCAGCTGCGAGTGCAGCTGCAAGTGCAGCTGGTGTAGCAGCAGCGACGGCTGCAGCAGCAGCCGGTTTGACACCGGCGCAGCAGGCACCAACTGCAAGGCGCTTGGATCGGACTTGATCGCCGCATGTTCCTTCTGCAGGCAGCCGCTGCTGGTGCTGCAGCGGCCAACGCCTTGAGCGAGCTATTCAACCGGACTGTGTGCCATATTGTGCCATGGATGTGCTACTCCTTCCAAACAGTGACGAGGGTGCACCCAACATGTCAGGACGTCTGAGGAGCAAGCTGCGGCCGCTGGTGCTGCCGCTGCCGCTGCCATTGCTGCTGCGGGAGGGACACTGGAAGAGCAGTGGCCAGCTCAGAACCACGGCGATTGTCACACTGCCTTCTTTGCCTCGCACCATGACGTCTCATGCGGGCGAGAGTGTGTTTTTGTGTCTGGCACCTGCCGAGGATCCAGGCAGCTGCGGCGGCCATTGCAGCTTCAGGACATCCCCGGGAGAGTGCTGCCGAAGGATTCCATCGACCCACGTTTGACAGAGGGGGTTTGAGACTTGAGTCGCCAGGACTGGCAGATGGATTGACGCTGGAGCAGATTGCGGCGTTGGCGAGCACAGCAGGCTGAGCGTGACAGCATGCGCTGCGCGCGATGCGATGTGATTGTGTCATGATGTGAAGCCTCAACCGGCATGAGGCAGTACGCTGGCTGCAGCTGCCGGACAGACTGCAGAGCAACAAGCAGTTGCTGCAGCTGCAGCTCGGCCGCATGTCACATGGGAGTGCGATGCAGTGCACACGGAATCATGTGCCCGAGGTAGCTGTATCCGCCGCTGCGGTGGCGGCCGACGCCACACAGCAGGCAAGGGCTTCGAGTGGTGTGCAGGACACGTATGCCCTCAAATTGTTCTCGTTTTTCTCTATCAGGTGGCCGACGAGCTCGCAGCAACAACTCTTGGCAGATTGCTTGGAGCACTGCGGCCGGCATCCAACCAAACCAACCACACCAATCAGACAGCCGTGGAGCAGGCCTGGTCTACCAACTTGTGCTGTTTCAATGGTCTTCCCTGCGCAGCTGCAAAGCTTGCACACTGCACATCGCCTAGCAATGGCAAAGCTTGCACACTACACACCGCCTAGCTGCCTTGCCGTGGCATCAATGTTTCTCTCTTAGCTGCAATGCCTTGATGTTCACGATCGTGAATGCTGCGCACTTGGAGACTTCTCGCTCGCAAGTTGCTAGAATCAGAGGCTAATTCAGAGTGTAGAATCTGCAGAATCATATTTGGCTTGAGCCAAGCAAGCTTAGGCTGGTTGAGATTTTGCCTCGCTCTCCGAGTTCGGGGGCCGTGTAGGAGTCTGCCTGTCAAAGGGCGAGTGTGTCGAGAGATTCATGCTCCCATGCCAGGCAACAGAAACAGGTACATCCGCTGGAGAAATCGCTACAGGCGCGGGCCTGACGACAGAACAGCAACTGGCAGCTGCAGCTGTGGCGGCGCTGACTTCGGGTGAAGGTGTCCTGAACCTGGACACTTGGTGCACAGTTCAGTTTGCAAGCTTGCTCACGTGTGCTCATGTAGCAGCTGACAAAACTGGGGATGCTTCTCTTGTCTTCTGACCTCTGAAGCTAGTGATTGCTTGATGACTTGATTGATCGTGACCATAAGGACGAGCTACATCTAGCAGTGGCCCTCTCTGCTGGCGCAGCGGCTGCTGCCGCCACAGCCTTAGTTAGCAGCGGAGACAGAATCCAAGATGCCTCTAGATTTCGGCAGGAAACCTTGGTTCTCTAGATTCTCGGATTGGCTTGGAGCATGGAAAGGGAAGGGAAGAGAAGGACCCGGAAACAAGGAAAAGGAAAAACGAAAGAAGAAGAAGAGGACGGAAAGGGGAAGGAAGGGAAAGGGGAGGAAAGGGAGCAAAAGGAAAGCAAAGGAAAGGGAAGCAAGGGGGAAGGAAAAGGAAGGGGAAGGCAAGGGAGAGAAAGGGAAGGAAATGAACTGGGAAGGAATGGGAAGGGAAGGGAAGGGAAGGAAGGGAAGGAAAGGAAAGGAACGGGAAAGAGAAAGGGAAAGGGGAAAGGGAAAAGGGGAAATCAAGGAGATGTTCCATTAATGTCTAATGGCAACAGAGGATTTTCCTAGTGACATCTTGAGGAAGTCGAGGCTTGCCAATTAAAGCCTAGGCAGGAAAGAGAGAGTGTTCTGCAAACGGAGGGATTCTTGGAACCGTTCAGAGGAGTTGGAAGTCTTCCTATTGAAAACAAAGCAAAGCCCCGTTGCTAGCCGCTGACCTGGGATGTTCGAGGCTGCGCAACGCGAGGGGCAGGACATGCAGCAGCAGGTGGGCGTTCTCTCAAATTCTCTCAAGTGCACAGTGCGCATCTCAAGCTTAAAGCTTTGAGTGTGTGAGGCAGCGGCCGCTGGTGTTGCTGGCGCTGCTGCCATCGACAAGTACTTGAATGGGACTGCTGTGTGAAAGCTTCCAGCTGAGGATGCACAGGATAATGTTGACCTAGTAATAATAAACCCTCCCCCCTTCAATCAAACCCCCCCCAAATAGAGTGGGGGGCCCCTTTGAATAAGGATTCCTTTCCTTAGAGAGAATTAGAGAGGATCAGAGAGAATCACTCAGGATTCCTTTCCTTAGAGAGAATTAGAGAGGGTCAGATCCCTAAACCCTAACCCTAACCCTAAACCCTAAACCCTAAACCCTTAACCCTAATTCAATAAGACTCCACAAAACCCAAGTAAACCTAAGGCATGAACCCTAAACCTAATGAAACCATGAAGCGATCATTTGAAGATTTTTTTCAGGCAGGAATTTCCAGGAACTTTATTCGGAGGGGCAAATCTTTCAGGATTATTTCCAGGGCACCGGCCTCCAAAGCTACCCCCTTTGCCAGAAAGATTTTTTCAATCCTTTAGTAAGGCTCTCAAATAAAAATCAGCAAGTTTCTGAGGAGTTTGGTTTTCAGGTTTCCCTTCGAAATCTGATCGCTTCATGTTTTCCTAATTAAATCCTAAACCCTAAACCCTTAACCCTAATTAAACCCCAGACCCAAAACCCTAAACCCTAAGACTTTAATTGCAGGGGCCCCCGGATTTAGAGACCAGGCCATACCCTTATCCCTAAACCCTAACCCTAACCCTAAACCCTGAACCCTTAACCCTCATTCAACAAGACTCCACAAAACCCAAGTAAACCTAAGGCATGAACCCTAAACCTAATAAACCATGAAGCGATCATTTGAAGATTTTTTTCAGGCAGGAATTTCCAGGAACTTTATTCGGAGGGGCAAATCTTTCAGGATTATTTCCAGGGCACCGGCCTCCAAAGCTACCCCCTTTGCCAGAAAGATTTTTTCAATCCTTTAGTAAGGCTCTCAAATAAAAATCAGCAAGTTTCTGAGGAGTTTGGTTTTCAGGTTTCTCTTCGAAATCTGATCGCTTCATGTTTGCCTAATTAAATCCTAAACCCTAAACCCTTAACCCTAACCCCAGACCCAAAACCCTAAACCCTAAGACTTTAATTGCAGGGGCCCCCGGATTTAGAGACCAGGCCATACCCTTATCCCTAAACCCTAACCCGAACCCTAAACCCTAAACCCTTAACCCTAATTCAACAAGACTCCACAAAACCCAAGTAAACCTAAGGCATGAACCCTAAACCTAATGAAACCATGAAGCGATCATTTGAAGTTTTTTTCAGGCAGGAATTTCCAGGAACCATGCCCCGACTGGCGTACTTTATTTCCAGGGCTTTATTATTGCGGCCGGGACACCTGGCGTACTTTAATATTAGGGGCTTTAGTAATACTAGGTTGACATTACACAATATGAGGCCTCTCTAGATAGAGAATCGAGATTGAAGGAGCGGCGAGCAGCAAGCGCTGGTGGCCGGCGTGGCCGCTGTAGCTGCGGTGGCCGCTGTTGGAGGAAGTCAGCAAGAGCAGCCGCCCGCTGAGGAAGTGGATCTTTTCTGGTGAGTCTTGGCGAGGCATTGTTGGACTTGCCAACTTGTTGTGTCATCTTAAGGATTGAGGCAGCCGCAGCTGCCATTATTGCTGAAGGCGGCACTCTCCTTCAGCTTGTTTACGTTTGCCGACTGCTCACCAGCAGCACACAAGGGGTACAGAGTCGTGCAGACCTGGACAAGCAGGAACCCTGCATGGCCTGACACCGACCAAGATCTCAGAGCTTGCTGGTCTACAAGGCCGGAGATGCGATTTTCTGAACTATGCAGCGTGAGGTTAGTCAGGGTTGGGCTCTGAATGGCATCTTGGCGAACCCGAGGGCTCTTGCTGACCTGGCAGGCCTTCAGATAGGCGATCAGGTGGACCAGACCGTAGAGGCAAACACATCAGGCACCTCCGCCAGCCGGCTGCCATGACTCCATGCCCGTTCCGACCGCCTGCCAGGTATGTTCTGGGGAATCCTCTTGACAGCGATAAGTGCCATTGCCGTGATCCTGGCCGCGAAAGCCTTGGACTGGAGTGCGAGATGGATGGGGAGGGGGACGGCTGGCGGGCAACTACTTTCTCGCGCTATGAACACTGCAGCCAAGGTCGTTTGCTATGGAAAGCTGCATAGATCCAGGGTGAAACAGGCACAAGCCTTGCGTCAGGCAGGACACTGCGAACTGAGATGAATGTTGCTTACATCGTCTGCATTCAGCAACTCCATGGCCCGTCTTTGCGAGGAGTGTCGGAACTAGCGCAGTCATGTTGTGCCCCTCACGCCTGCACGCCCAATCACGCCCATACTCTGGCCTGAAGCAGCGGAATCTGTGGGCCGAATGATCAAATGATGATTATGGTACAGTAGGGCTCAGTACTGTAGCGTTACAGCTAGCCTGCGCAGCAGTCCATTCCGCACTGCAGTTGTGCTCGAGGCAACTGAAGAGGCAAAGCTTGCGGAGCGGATGCAAGACAACTTCGATGCAGCGCGCGCCAAGATCTGTGTGATGCTGTTGGGTGCCGAGAGACCAGGGCTGGCGCTGTGGGGGGGGGGGGTGGGCGGGGAGCTGAAACCAGTCAAACCACTGGAGCTATAAGCAGACTGCCACAGGCCCAAGCTCGAGCCTGGCCAAGGGCCGCCTGTGGCTCGCTTCCAGTCCGTCGTGGAGGCTCTGGCGCCCATCAAAAGCACAATGCTTAGATAATCTGCTGCTGGACAGGGCAAGAAAGAGTTCAACTTTGCCGATGACGTCTTACCTGGTGAGCGAGAAGCACCACCCGATTCTTTCCGTGGGAACAACTGGGGTGAGGCAGCTTGCAACATGGTGGGACCGGGATCCTTTCTGTCATGTTGACCCCATGGCAGGGAGATGTTTTCTCCTTAGAGGTCGGCGGGGAGGCTCTGAGTGGCTTTGCTGCGACTGAGAACATTTCTCAAACACGCCGTCCTCTGCAGGTGACTTCGCCACACCGCGTGCTTCTCAAGGGTTGAGGGAAGGCCCTTTTTGATATTTCAATGATGCATTGCTACAGTTGCTTCTGATTGCATTCCCAAGAAAGTTGCAGTTGCAGTGATACTAAACGAATATGAAGCACACAAAATGTTGACTTAAAGTTGTCAAGGCTCAGATGAGGCCTTGTGGCCCTCACCTTGGGGTTGGTTGTAAGCGTCGAGCCCAGGGAACTCGACCTCGACTACCGGAAGCAGGCACCACACTCAGACCCTTTACCGGCACAACTTGACAACTGTTTTGTTGTTTCTATCTGCCATTCTCTCACTCTCTCGCTCTCTCTTTTCCCATCCCCTCCCTCCCTCTCGCTCGTCGTCGTGAAGGCTTCCGCAGTCTCCTCCAGCGACAGGCCAGTGAGCTTTGCAATGCTATTAATCAGCTTCGCAGGATTGATTGTGCTCAGGCAATCCATCAGCCATCCAGAACGACTTTTGGACGGCACCGGAGGCTCCGCGATGCACCATGTGTGCTTTGGACGTTCTGACGTTGTGGTCTCGGTGTCTCGCATCTCGACGGCTCGACAGGTGGGTGATGACGAGCTGCCCACAATAAAGCCCGAAGCTCTTGACCACGGCATGGACATCGCCACACGATGCCAGTCGCCCGCATGTTGCAAGTGACTTGATTTGCATTGCAAGGCCCAGCATACGGCTTCCAGGAGGCTGCAAGACATCATGCAGCATAGTATACAGGATCTCGACTGAAGATAGGCTGACCGCGTGAGCCCTGTCAGGCGGGTCAGGCAAACTACTAGGTGACGATGAGAGCCTAGGCTGCAGCAAGCAGCAGAATGTCAAAGGCTGCACACTTCAAGTAGGCCACTTGTATGGTCCCTCCTTGTACGGTCCCTCCTCCTTTTGAAACACATCGAAGTTTCTGTTCTCTCTGAGGTTCTCGGTTGGCAAAGCTCAACCACCCTTTTCTCCAGCCAGCGGGGCTAGCGTTGTCAGCCCAAGTGGCCGACGTGTTTCGAGAGGCCTCTGAGGAGCGCTTACCACACTAAACCAGACCAACTTTGTTCATCCTCGTAGTATATATATATATGTATATAAAAGTATAAAGTATTCGTCATTATATGTATATATATATATACATATCTATGTAGTTTTTGTTGAATTCTACAATCTTGATGACCATCTTCATTTAGCCCCTGGCCCCAGAGGCCGGACCCCGACGCTCTTAAGCAACCTGGTGGTCTGAAAAGGTGCCGCAAAGCACGGCTTGCGAAACGAGCGCCCCAGGGCGCAGCGTTGTGACCAAGTGGAAAGACCGCACGGAGCACATCCTGGGAAAAGAAGGGACCTAGTAAAAAGGGACCAAGTTACATGAGTCCCTTAATCTGGTTCCTTACCGTCCTAACAAGGGTTCTGATGCATGGGTGGGTTCTGCAGTTAAGGGCGTATTAAGGGACCCATGTGACTACCCGAAGGTTACCTTGCACAACCCGAGCAAGAGTTCAGTGAGCTTCTCGCTTCATCGCTTGAATGAGTGAAGCGAAAATGCCATTGGTTCTTGGTTCAACCGCCGGCGGGCGACGGTGGGGCGAACAGTTCGTGGGCTCCCCAGTGACCCAGCGGATGTCCACTTGTCCCAAGTCCCAACTGACGACGTGCCTCTCCGTACCAACGTGGCTGCATGTCCACGAAGACTTGCGAAGACGTGCTCTGAGTGCACTGAGGTCAGCCGTGAAACCATGGCACGGCTGGGCCTCTTCGGGGCCGTCCTACTTGTTTCACCTACGCTCTCATCAGGTTCCGGGTTTCTGTTGTGCAATGGGGGGTGGATTGACGAAGATGAGCTGCAGGTTTTTATGGCATCGGCGACGTTGCCAGCAATTCTTCGACGTGCTCGCCTTTAGATAGCATTGCCGATGTTGCCGGCTTTGCGGAGGCCTCGTTTGAAGAGGCCATCCAGGTCAAACTGCTCCAGGCGCCTGCTTCATGTGGTTGTTAAGGCTTTTGTACTTTCGTGTGCCCCTTGGGGAAGTGCCTCAGGTCAGCACCGAACTAGGGAGGAAGTCAGGCGCCGGTCAGCTTCCGGCGGGACGGCCGTTTAGTCTGCATGGAGCCCTGTGAAGCCTGTTCCGGACTAATTCACTGTGCCTTAAGCTAATGAAACGGTGTCAGGATCCCATTCCTGCGTCGCTCAGGCAATCATTGGCTGCTCGGATCGTGGAGCAAGCGCAGCGCAAGTTCTTGCCTGTCACCACTTCGATCCTCCTGCCGCACGGCCTCGCCTTTGTGATGGCAGCGCTCCTTATCAAGCGCCACCGCAATAGGAAGGCTGATTACTTCCCAGAAACGAGCGAGGACAGGCCGAGGAGCTTGTCCTACATCGCGAGCAGGGTTGGCCACATGTGGATCATCCACGCGCTGTCCGTATTTGTCTTCGCAGTGTCGGCGCCAAGTGCTGCAAGCGGCTTAGTCTGCTTTGCAGAGGTGCTCTTACAGTCTGCTCTCAAGAAGGGCAATTTTAAGCCCATTATATTTTTTTCCATGATCATCCTGTTTTGAAAAATTTGCCTCTCTTTTTTTGCGCCTTGCCTCCTCCTGGTGCTTTCGCCTCCTTCCGTTGCCCCGGCTCCTTTGTTCTTCCTGCATCGTCTTTTGTTGGTTTTTGTTTGTTGGTCTTTCTGTTTTGTTTCTGCTTTTGTTGGTCTTCTGGGAAAGCAACATCATATAAGTGTGCAATGCCCGGAAAATCCTGAAAGAGCTCAGTTGCAACAGGTGGGGGGTGTCCCCTTGCCCCCCTTGCTTCAACCCGGCCAAGCCAAGCATTCGGGTTAGCACACCCCGGCAAAGCTAGCGGCAAAGCTAAGGGTCAGTCAGGCTCAGGGATCCCCTGCACCCTTACAGCCCCTCCACCCCACCCTACACCCCTCCCCCTCAACCCCCCCGTTCACCCCCAACCAACAACCCGAGGTCTGGGCAAACACTCCGTTCCCAACACAACCCCCCACCCCACCCCGATGCCCCTGCTACAACAACTTGCAACCGCATGTTTTCTCAGGTCTCTCTCTCTCTCTCTCTCTCTCTCTCTCTTCTCCGTTTTTATTGTGCTCGCGACTTTCGCAATTAATCTTTCAAAAAGCCTTTGGAACCCAAAAAGCGCCTAGGTTTTGGACACATCGAGGTGGTCAAGGGCATAGGGTTTAGCTGCGGCAGCATTTGAGTGGTTCCGATGTTGAACCATCGTTCCTGCCGTTGTTTTCGATGTTTTTGGGACTTTCCTCTGTCGGGACAAGCAGGCGTCTGGGGCACGTGCCGAAACAAGTATTGCTCTTTCCACCCTTTTTTGGTCGTCGAGATCCCTTCGACTCCCTCGTGCACACGGTGCCAGCTAAGCACAGCGGGGTAGGTGAGGTGGCCCTTGGTTTTATAGCTGAACAACCTTTAACCATTCCAAGCCGAAACGACCCAAGTCCAAGAACTGTCCAAAACCGGGATTCTCCGGCGCGGGTGGAGCCAACTTTGAGTATTTGAAGCCTTTGAAGCTGTCAACCAGATGGACATGCAGCATCTTGCTATAGCAAGCCATGAAACCAGGACAAAGAAGCGACACAACGGACAGGGGCGAAGTAGCAAATATCCACCCGCTTTTTACAAGTCAGAGTGCTCTCTCAGTCACAGAGGGGTAGGTTTGAACACACTGTTAATTTCATTACCCCTTATCCCCTATATATATATATATATATATATAAAATTATATATGTTTGTAGAGCCCCCAAACCTACCCCAGCGTGTGCAAGAAAGGACTACATGTACTTGAACTCCTTCGCCAAGCATTATGCCGATGGGAAGCCGACGGACTGCTCCACAGAGATGGACACGACGCCCTGCAGCCGGGCGGTGGTGGATGTCACGCAGATACAGGTCATCCGAGGTGGGGGGGAGATGACGGTGGGGTGGGGGGGGTGGTGGGGGGGGGGGTGAAGCAGTTTTAAGCAGCTGTGTCGAAAAAACGTGAGAGTCACACACGGTCGCTGTTGTGTGAGTGGTAAAAAGAGGCTTATAAAGCGCCCTCTCCACCTTTTTGAGGCTTTGCGCTGCCCGTCATCCAGTTCTTCGCCGGACCCGCTCTAGGCGCCATCAGCGATGCCTTTGGCAGGCGTCCAGGTGTGATTGCCATCCGGATAGCTCTGATGATTTCGACTGGGGCTGGAGCAGCGGTTGCTTGTTTTGACCTGTCAGTTTGGTTTGATTTCTGGGTGGGCTTCCTTGGCATGATACCGTTCATGCCCGTGCCCTTGGCTTGGTACATTGATCGCCTAGATCACACGCCGAGTATTGTGATAGCAACTGCTTTGGTAGAAAGCACATGTACGCTGGCTTCGATTCTGGGCTCGCTTCTTGGCGGCTTTATAAGTCTGAAGAGTGCGATGCTGATCGGCTTTCTGGGCAAGGTGGTTTGTCTCTTTCTCGCAATCTTCTGGCTACCAGAGTCCCTTCCAGAAGAGAAGCGCATCCGCTTTACCTGGTCCAGCCTGGCTCCCACAGCCGCCTTGCGGGTTTTGTTCCAGAGTCCCCTGGTGGAGAAGCTTGCAGGTATTGCACTGATCGATTCTTTTCATTACAGTGGCTTCTACGCAATGGCAAACCGTTTCTTCCAGCAGCATCTTGCTCTCAACCGCCAGCAAGCTTATCTGCAAACCATGATGGTGCTCTTCTCGGACATGGTTTGGCTGTCCGCGGGAGTGTCTGCGCTCTGGCCGATCCTCGGCCAGGCACGTAAGTGCTCAGAGTTTCGGGATTGGCAGGGCTGGCTCTTGCGCTGGTACACGCACAACAGTCCTCGGCTAGGCATGCAGAACGTACTTGGTTCAGGCTTAACTGCGGAGGCTGAAGGACGTACTTAGGTTGAGGCTCGTGATGCATTTCCAGTTTCTTGGGTTTATGTCTTTTCATCACAACCCGAAGGTTTCCTTTCTCATTTGCCCATCCTTGGCTTTGCGTTTTTTCCGGGCTTTCTCGGTCTCTTTGCATCTGCAGCCAGGATTCCCACGATCTGCTGTTTCCCTCGGTTTGATTGAAGCCGGAATGGGTGAACATGTACATAGATAGTTCTGCAGCGCATTGTTTCCCCACATCAAACGCAGCTTCGACATATTGTTCCGTTTGCCTTCCCATTTTTTATACGAAGTCTTCTCAACAACTCCGCTACAAGTTAAGTCAAGCAAAGGGAGTCCCTGCCTTCAAGGACCTGAAGCCCAGCCAGAGCCCGGAGCCTGATGTCCCGGTTTAAGAGGTGGTGGTCGGTGATGCTTTGCGGCTGCGCCAACCTTCGAAAAAACCGAAGCGAGCCAAGAGAGGGCAGGAAAGGAGGGGGGAAGGAGGGAAGGAGGGAAGGAGAAAATAAGCGTAGCCACCACGAAAGCCTAACGACTAGCTGCTCTCGGGTTGGGGGTGGTGGTGGGGGGAGCGGGATAGGCGCATCCATGCAAAATCCGAACATGTCTTCTTTTGCAAGATTGTTGTGACACTTGCGCTGCAACATTTGTCTGATTCAGTTCTGACCCTTGTTCCAACAAGACCAACCTGACTCCTTCCGGTCCGTTCGTTCATTGCAAGCACACACACACACACCACACACACGTCGGGGCACCCCCATCAAACAGGTGGGAATCTTGGTTGCCAGCTCCTCGGCTCCACAGGATTCCAGCCTTTTCCGTTTTTGACACAAACTGCTAGGCTTAGTCTAGCTTTGTGCCCCTCGACGAGCAGCTTTCAACCAGGCACGCTTGCGACAGCACTGTCGGATGTGCTGTTGATGCTGGCGAAGAAGCCCTGGCAGGTGAATTTGAACAGCTTGGTTCTGGGAGGTTTGGGGAACATGAACAGCTGTGTGATCGCAGGCGTTGCGGGGAGGGCCGCCTCGCAAGAGAAGCAGGCCATGTTCCAGAGCGCACTGAATCTGGCCATCCAGGTGAGCAGTGCTCTGGGCCCGGCGGCCTTCATGACCGTCTACCAGCTCCTTGACCCAACAGCTCCGGGCGCCCCCGCCTGGAGGATGACCGTCTACATCCTCTACGGGGTCATGTTCGCGGTCCCGAGCTTGATGCTCTCCTTCGCGCTCCGACGCTTCCTCCCCCAAGGCGACAAGGACTACGATTCCGGCTTCAGCAGCTGAGGCAAACACAAGGGGGACAGGTTTTCTTTCTCTCACGAAAGCGACCGACGAATGGAGGAAGCCTCGGATGCCACCAGTCGTAAAAAAACCGAGCGGTTTTCAGTCTCCAGTCAAAGCTCTGCCCTGAACCCAACTGACACTGACTCTCAGAATCTTGGCGAAGCCACGGCCACTTCAAGTCCCAGCCACCGCAGAGTCTCCCCCGCATAATGTCCTCTCATATTGGGTTTCTGACGTAGGGGCACGCTTTGTTGGGGTGTTCGGTATAAACGGGGAAGAGCCATTTTGGGGAATGCCCCGTAGTGAAGTAGAACGTAGCTGACGAAGCTGTAACTGCACGTTGCTCGGAATAACGTGCGTCAGAGCAGCTCCGGCATTTTGCGGCTTGGGTTCAGGGATGTTTCACATGTCCTCAATCTTGAAGCGACCACTTAGAACCTTCCCACACCTAAGGGTCCGCAGGCAATCACACACCTATACCCATCTGAACCGATCTGTAACGCTTCAGAGCCAAAGATGACAACAACGTCTTTTGTGCGTATTGAAGTTAATGGGCTGCCGGCTGCAACTCGGATTGCACCTCCTACCCGGATACCCTAGGCCCTAAGCCCTAAACCTAAGCCTTTCGGCTTCAACACAGCTTCTGGGGTCCTGCGACTCCCACCCGGCCCAGCCTAAACTAAACAGTAAGGCTACTGCAGGAAGAGCATATGACGCCTTATCAAGAGACTTGCCCATGGCTGAGGAACCTCATGTATCCAAATAAATAAAAAACTGCCTGTCAGAGAACTTATTAAACAGAAACGACATCGCGATGCGGGCACCACGTGACCTGGCTACTGAAGCGCCGAACCCCTCGATGGAGATCACGGAGGGTTCTGCCAGCGAAAGTGAGTCGTCGGACACTACCGTGCCTTGCTCTGCAAACCAGACAGCTGCGCCCTGTCCCTTTGCAATGTTCTGGCACATAGGCCGAGAAGCGGCGACGTTCCACCCGGAAGTTTCTGTACCTGGGTGTGGGTGTGGCCCTGCTGCTGGCCATCATACTGGTGCTGGTTCTTTTGCTCAATTCGCCAGGCCATGGCTTGAGGATGCTTGCTTGCGTCGATCTTGCACTCACTGACAGAATTGCTCTTAGACTTCACTTCGCCATAGCCATGGAAGCAGTCGAGCAAATCATCCTTGCCATGCACAAGAGCGAATCGGTTTCGTTAAGTGAGTAAGTGAGTTGTTCTGACTTCAGGCGCCTCCAATGCGAAGTGCCGCGGGTTTCGGCAGTGCCCAGACTATCCTTTGCCATACGCCTTCGGGACCTGGCCAAAGACGTACAGCTATGCCGGGAGCTTTCCAGAGGGCTTTGTGTGGGGTGTGGGCACTGCGGCCTATCAAGTCGAAGGTGCATACAATGAGGATGGCAGGGGTGCGTCGATCTGGGACACTTTCACAGGGGTGCCCCTGCTTCCGATTAGTAGTCTCTTGTCGCTGCTTGTAGTGAGCTTCTTAAACCGCCCTTGACGTGTTCTGATGCCCATTGGGTGTTATCAATTCGAGTCAAGCGTCAGGCAAACACGCTGGGCATGCCAGGGGCGAACTGCTCATATTGCTGCCAATCTGCACCGTGCACGCCCAACAAGAACATGGTAGGCAAAGGGGCGACAGGCAATGTTGCTACGAACAGCTACCACATGTTCCGGACAGACATCGCCTTGATGAAGTCCATGGGTTTGAAGCATTATCGCTTTAGCATTTCGTGGCCCCGAATCTTCCCTACCGGCAGTGCCACAGGGGAGCCAAACCCTGAGGCTGTGAAATGGTACGACACTTTCATCGATGAACTGCTAGCCGCAGGGATGGAGCCCTACGTGACCCTTTATCACTGGGACCTACCGCAAGCACTGCTGAGCCCGCCAGAACTCGGTGCATGGTGGGCGCGAGACAAGGATGGCAAGCCAGTGGGCCAGATCCTCCCCAACTGGAAGCACTACGTGGACACCTGCTTCCGACTCTTTGGGGACCGGGTCAAAGTTTGGGTGACCTTCAATGAGGCCTGGAGTTGTACCAAGCTGGCCAGTGGCAGTGGAAAAGCTCCAGGCATTCCGCCCTTCATGAATCCAGCCGTGGATCCATACATAGCTGGGCACAACATTCTGAATGCACATGCGGCTGCAGTTGACATCTATCGGCGAAAGTATCAGACATCGCAGAAGGGGAGAATAGGCATCACGAACAACCAAGACTGGAGAGAGCCAAAGACAGATAGCGTGGAAGACGTTGCAGCCGCCGAGCGGGCAGTTCTCTTCCAGCTGGGCTGGTTCTCGGAACCCATCTTTGGGGCTGGTGATTATCCCCAAGAGATGAAGGACATCTTTGCAGCCCTTGGAACCGCCCTGCCCGAGTTCAGTGAAGCTGAGAAGGCACTTCTCAAAGGTAGCGCGGACTTCTTTGGGCTGAACCACTACGGTACTGGCTGGTTCGCTGCCACCAAAGAACCGGGCTGGGACATGACCTACGGCACTTCAAGCGAGGAAGGCTTCGTGCAAGGCCAGTCGACGTGGCTCTATGGGGCCGGCTGGGGTCTTCGCAAGCTACTGAACTGGGTGAAGAGACGCTACAACAACCCCGAGATCTACGTCACAGAGAGCGGCTGGTCAGTGGCTGCACAGACGGCGGAAGAGGCTGCCAATGACACACAGCGAGTCATGTACTTTGCGAACTATACATCCGAGGTTCTATCTGCCATCCTTGAAGACGGCGTCGACGTTCGAGGCTACTTTGCCTGGTCCTTGCTGGATAACTTCGAATGGGAGATGGGGTATCCGATTCGTTTTGGCACCACCTTCGTCGACTACGACCTGGGGCTGGATCCCAACGCGCCTTTGCCGAACTCGCAAGTTCCGACTCCGGGCTTCCAGCTGCGGCGCCGCAAGGACTCCAGCTGCTTCTTGGAGCAGGCAAACAGGAATAGGTCCAGAACATTCCAGAACCTCTCGGAATCTCCAAGTAGGAAAATACCTCGAATCCATTCTCACAGTTCGGGGCTGAAACTGCTGAAGTTTTGGGAAAAAAGTATCAGAAAAGCGGCCACAGTGCCACAGGTGTGGCGCAGCAACGTGATGACGGCCCCGAGCGGGGCTTCCTGCGTGAAGCCTTTGGTCTTCCAGGGCCGCTACCGAGACACGACACAGCCCGGCTGCAAGCGCGTGCTCGACGTCTACAAGCCGCCCACTTCTGGCAGCATCTCTGGGACTCGGCCAGGTGGGGACGTGCAAGGAGTTGTAAGGATGTGTAAACATGTAGGCAGCAGTTCAGAAGCTGCAGCAGTGTTCGAAGCTTCGATCAATTTGTGACTTGGGAAAGGTCCAGGCAGGACGGCGTGCAACAATGTCACCGACATCCCATATGGCCCAGCCATGGTGACAATAAGTGGCAGCACTGCACCTTGGCCAAATTCCGATGCCTCTGAAAGGCCCCGAGAGCGGTGTCATGTGCAGCTCAGGTGGTTTGCACGGACTGCCGGACACAATCGTCACAGGCAAAGAGACCCAAAATGTTGAGCACATGCAAGCTTGGAACCACTCCTTCTCTTGTTGTCCATCCCTCCAAGGGCTTTTGGTCTGCTGGCAGTCTCGGAATCGAATGGGACGATGGTGCCCTCTGGGTCAAGGCCTGACGTGGACAGTTCGAAGGAGCATTGCATGCTTGGCGCAAGTGCAGGATCTCTGACCGGGGCATCCTGCAAGCAAGCCTGGGCAAAAGGCATGTGGAAGCATGCTCTCAATCTCTTGCATTTTGTCCTCGCATCACGTAGCTCCTGCGCTCTCATCTTCTTGATCACACTTGTGATTCTGCGCTGCCGAACCAGCTTGACTAATTCAACAATTGCAACAAGCACGTGGCTGCATGGTGCCGAGCATGCTATGCACAAATCATCATGCCGGCATAGACCCCAAACAGTGCAAGACCATGACGACGGCACATCGCATACCCCACTCAAAGTGTCAGTGCAGTTCTGCACTGCAGAGGGATCATACGTGCGGGATTCTGGAGAGCGATGTACTGTGCGCGCACATTCTGCACGTCACGAGGATATGCGGACTTAGAGTAACATGGATCACGATATTGAAGCCCAATACGATGCTTCGCAAGGAGCGTGCTGCCCGGAGCACGAACCAATGCCCAAGAGCGGCCGCAGTTCAAATCTTCACCGCGAGCATTTGCACGGGACGGAGGCGGGAGCAGGAGCCCGAAAGGCACGTCCCTGCCACATCTTCCCAATATGGGGCGATTCAAGCCTTCAAAAGTACAACGGGCTCAAGTGCGAGCGCGATTTGGACACGGAGCGCAGGGGACCTAGGTGAGAGTGCCATTTGCGACGTCGGGCAAGAACCTAGTTCTTACTGTATGTACTCCGCAAGCCCCAAGGCAAGAATAGGCTCCCTCCCCCAACGTCGAGACCCCGTGTGTTGCCGCATTTTTTGGGAGTGTATGTGTAGTTCAATACAAGTAGAGATCACACAAGTCATAATGTACTACGTGCAGCCTGAGGCCAACATGGTTTTCTAGTCGTTGCATGCACAGAGAAATTCGGTGCAACATGACACCATGTGGCCATGGCTGACTGGTCTCTGAGCCCCACTGTCAAGCAGGCGGGTCCGATTTGCTTGCATTGGAAGCTGTTTGCACTCCACGTTGAGGAGCTCTGCCAGCTGCGCGCTGGGCTCACCGACAGCAAGGACCCTGCAGACTACCTAAGCCTAATTTGATGTCTGCGGTGCACAGTGCACATGTGTCGGAGGCACGGCACCTGGACACGGCCCTACTGCTGGAGCGGCTATCAGGCCCCAGCTCCACCGATGTGAGACACTTGGCCAATCTGGGCCAAGATCAATGAGGTCAAAATGCTGCGCTGCGCCTGCAGCTCCGAGAAGGCAAAGAAGGTAGAGAGGCTCGGCACCCTGTCCACCATGCCGGCTTCGACACATTCTACGCTCTGCTACACGTTGCTGCACTCGTAGTCTGGCATCGTCTGGTCGCAGGCCGTGAAAGGAGACTCAACGTGCTCCTCCCGGCTTCATTGCCAGCCACACTTGGAAGCGAAGAAACAACCCAAGAAGTTGTAACAGGTTGTACAGATTTGTACACTGAGGTGTAATGACATATTACTCAGAACCTCCACTGCTTTGGCTCTGCTTCCGTTCCCAGGCGCACGTCCCGGTCTTGTCCGATTTCCAAAGCGGACAAAGAGAACCGGCGTGACCTGTCCTTGCCATCCGAGAAGCTCCACTCATCGAAGAGGAATTGTGAGCCCCCGTGCTGACCTTACGCCAAGTCGTCTGTATTTGCTGATATTGACCTATACCGCCTATACCCCAACCTCGTGTGGAGCTTTCCCACATGTTCCCACTCTTTCACCTGGAGGCACTCGCAGACGCCAGGACGTGTAGCGGCGGGGGAGGCTGAACTTCTGAGGCCGATTGTCGGAGAGGTGAGAGATTTCTTGTGTTGACGACAAGCCCTAAAAGGCGTCCTGCCGCACTCGAATGTCCGACAGCGCGCCATAATCGGAGAGGCACCGGGTCTGGCAACTGGAGCGTGAGCTTGAGGCAGAGAAGCGAAGGAGTGCTGGAGCCCCGGAAGAAGAAAACGCAGCTTCTCCGAATTTTTGCAGAATTTTGCAGCGATTTTGGACGACGCCCCAGGCCACGCTCCAGCGGAGAGCGGTGCCTCCCTTGGTATTCGGAGCCCTGGAACATGCAGCCATTTTCCCAGCTCAGGACGGGCACTCTGCGCAGCCGAAAGCAAGCGAGGTGCATGGGCAGAGAGAGAGAGAGAGAGGGCGCCCTCTCAACCACCCAGCCTAAAGCCTTGGCTGAGAATGCGCTGTGCTGCTTGATGCTGTTGGATGCTGTTTGCATACTGACGCTCGCACCTTTTTGTCCAACTGAAGTGCAGAGCAGTGCGTGCCACCCAAGTAGCAACATTCATTCCTCAGCACAATATGGGCTGCTTGTCTACAAGGGTTTGGCTTGTCAACACAGTGCTCGGTGCCCTTTCATCATCTGGTGCAGATTACGAGTAGCAGCTAAGTAGCAGCCATGTTGTTGATGGGCGAAGATGCTCGTCCGCATGGGAGCTTCGACTTGTGAGGGCTTCAAAATTCTTGGAGCCAGTGTCAACTGTTGGAGTTCGTGCTTGTGCCGGTTGGGACGTACATGCACCTCGCTGTTCCTCGCTGTTCCGGTACCTTTCTGCACCGGTTTTGTGGCTTCAGAATCTCAGGTGAGGGTTATCGTCGAGCGGATGTCCGGCAAAACCCTGCAGTTCCGGATTCCGGCTGAAGTACTCGTCGAGGATTTGAAGGCGCCTGCAGCAGTGCAAGTTCCTGCAAAGCACTCCAGCTTCCCCGAAACGAATCCTAGACATCCTGCTGCAGACTGTTTTGGAGTATGGGCCCGATGGCGTGCCTTCGGACTTCCAAACGTTGTGCCCTGCCTTGGACCTGCGACATACTTGGTTTTGGTGATGGGTTTGATATTTTGGCAGGAGCATGTCCTTATGGAAGCAGACCCACCACCCCCAAATGGATCTTTCGGGGGATTTTAACCTGACGCACCTTTTCTTGCAAGTGTCTGCGCGTTGCATGGGCCACGCGTGCTTCCTATGTGAGGTGTGGACCTTTGCTTTTCGAGTGCTGAGGCTGTGTGGTGAACAGGAAACCCGCGACGAGGACTTGCACTGGGGGTGCAGTTTGGGGACATGGTTGCAGTCTGCCAGTGCGAGCACAGTGCGAGCACTTCCGACAAAAGGATAGCATTGGCCAGTGGCGGGACGAGTGTGGCGTCGTCAAGTTTACCTTGCTCATCTCCTCGAGTCGTAGCCTAGGCGGCAACTGACTTGAGAGATGCACGACAAGACTTGAGAATCAGGAGTCTCACGTATGCTTGCCTCGTGGACCAAGTTTTCTCTGCTAGGCGCCAACGCGGGGAAAACCAAAAAGCTGGCCACTTTGTGACTCGGCAAGAGGCGGACTGACAATTCCATGCTCGGGGGGCCAAGGCCTGTGAGGCTTCTTCTGCCATGTTTCTGGGAAGCGGAGTTGGCGCGAGATCGGCTGTGACGGGGGGGTGACGGGCGCGAGATGCGGCAACCGTGTTGTACGTAGCGTACCATGGGTCCGACATCGGGGACGTGGGTGGTGTATAGTATCGTCTAGTGGTGTGACGGGCGTGTGACGGGGGGGCGCGGGTGGTTTGAAGGACGACGGGAGGGCTGGGGCGGCGAGATCGAGCGATACAGGCGACGGAGCGATACAGGCGACGGGGCGTGACGGCTCGTGATGAGGGTCAGTCACAGACGGGGTTCGGGGATGTGCGCGAGATCGATGCTGACAAGGCGTGAAGGGGCGTGCTGGGTGGGCTGAGGGGCGCGCATGCAGATTGTGCAAGTAGTTCGGTTTGTTTGTGGGTTTCTGGCCTGACCCTATTGTGTTCTGCACAGATGACACCCGAGGCGAACTCTGACTTGCAGTGAGTGGGAAACCAGAGTCAACTTCATCAAGCATGCGATCCCACATGTTGCAAAATGTTTGGAGGCGCCGGGCGGGGGCGGTGGGGGCTAGGCTTGGGGGTTTCTTACATGCATGTGTTTGTAGCCTAGCTGGCTGGTGCCTGCAAGTTGCCTTCTTGCAAGCTTAAAGCAAGCCCGAAGGATGTGGTGGACGAAGTACGAGAGGGAGCTGTGCAGGTGCTCCCTTGGAGACTCACCATATCTTGCAGAATTTGTTTTAGAAGCACGGTGCTAGAAGATACCAGCTACTAGGAGTTCTTGGCGGTTGCATGCGGGCCGAATCTTGGAAGGCCTTGACGTCCTTGGCCGCGGCGTGTCTTCCCCAAACCCTGGAAGAAGTGAGGCAAGTCGTACCCTTCCTATGCTGGTGACTCTGCACTCTGCACTGCTTTGGAGAGGCAGCGCCTTGCCCACGAAGACTGGAGCGTCCGCCGGCACGCGGTGAAGGCAAGGCAGCGGAGGTCTTGCGCCTTTGTGGTCTTCTGCTCTCTTGAAGGAGTATTGTTGCACCAGGTTTGTAAGCTGTTTCGCATACAGCCATTCTGGTGTCTAGGTTCTCGTCAGGGCAGTAGAGTTTTGAGTTTATGAGTCGGTCAAGAAGCCATGAAAAACCAGGATGTGCCGTAGGGCAAGGTCTGGCGACTACATTCCAACCATTTTCTGACCCGTCCTTCATGAAATTCCAAAGCAGTATCCGCAGGCACTTCAACAGATAGCACCTCCGGATGATGCGGAAAGCATCGCTACACGCCTGCGAAGAACTGCTTCAGATCAGTTGCTCTTGTACCAGTGCTGTGGCAAGAAGCTTGCACGCGAGCACTGGTCTAGCAGTCTTGCATGAACCGAGGCTGCCTTGAAGGCGCTGATAGAGGACCTGCTGATCGCGCACACTGCCAGCCGATAAAATGTCTGCGTGTGCTGCTGTAGAGAAGGCTCTTTCTTTAATTGCTATTAAATGTATGGTTTGCTCTAGCAGGACCCGAACATTCGCGTACGTGTCGCAGTTGTTCTTGCGCTGATGAGTTTGCTGAAGACAGCGCCTACCATCTGCCCCTGAGCTGGCATGTCAGTACAGCAAGCAACGGGTGGCAGCATGGGCCTCTTGAGCCCCTTGAGCCTTTTGAGACTCTTGAGCCTCTTGAGCCTCTTGCACAGCC